TAAAATATCCGTGTTATCAAATATTTATAAGAATATATTATTAGTTATAAGTGGTATTACATCATTATAAATCATATACATAGATGCTTATGAATATTTGTGTCGTCCAAAGGTCTAAAATCTCATACGAAAATATCAGCTTTTAATTGTTATAGAATTTTGAACCTTGATTGCTAATATTATTAATGCCAATGGTCGAGATAAAGATATATAATAACGTATATAATAGTCATACAATTGTGTACCTAAAATAAGTATCAATTTAGGTTGTTTTTATGAGTAGCATTCTAATGAGTGTAAATGAGTTAAAGTTTCTTACTTTGTTTGTTGGTAGGGGTAATCTTTGGAAACTCTGATCCGATCATTAAATTCTCTTACCTACGGGAAGCCACATCATACGCGTATTATATAGCGTATTAGACGAGCGAAGTCGTAGGCGTAGAAACGGGAACTTTAATCATTCGTTACTTCATATTTTTTTCAAATTGAGTTCCAACATTCACTTTACCACCATAGAAAGACTAATAAAGTACGATTAAACCTATAACATTTTCAACTGAGCAAAAATCAATAAAACTCATTAATCCAGTTTTTCGATTTACAACGAAAAAAATAAAATAAGGTGAGATAGAACACGAATTTTCTGAAAGTTTTTCAACGTCTACATCGTAGTTAATAAACAATGCTCATTTATTTAGTTAGTCACAGATCTTGACCGTTTCGTCACAGACTGTCAATTCGTTTAATTATTTTAAGGTCGAACAAGACAAATAAAATAGCAAGGCAAAAGAGCGTTCTTACAAACAAGTAGTGAAATAGTTGAATTCTTAGACTCAACAAAATTAAAATAATACATATTAAAATAATAGAAACGATATTTTTTTATGGCATTTGTCTTTTCAACATGATATGGCTAAGATATGCCTTCTATAAAGAATGATTATTTTTTAATGTATCTAGTCTACAGGACCGAAGACGATTATTGGATCAAATATTTCTATATAAATTTGTTGACGGTGCATTAGATTGCTCAGCTCTTTTACAACAAATTAATTTTAATATTCCACGTAAGCATTCTAGATCCTCTCGTTTTAAATTGTTTTCTCCTAAATCTTTAAAGAGCACTCTAGGTCACTATTCGGCATTAAATAGAAGCCAGAATCAATATAATGTCACTACGAAAAGAAATAATGATTTAGATATTTTTTTCCAAATTTAACATATTTAAATCTAACATCATAGCTGATATAACGGATAAGTAATTGGTATCATAAAAATAGAATAAGTAAGTGAAATCTTATTAAATTTCTCTCACATATTTCCTCCTGTGTACATGCCGTGGCAGCTTGTAATAATTTTTGTTGTAAAAGAGCTGAGCAATCTAAACTTATTTGCAGGCTATTTTATTATTGTAATAATACTATCATCAGTGTATTGTCTTGTAAGCTGTCCTTAAATAAATAAATAAAAATTATATACCTTATTTTGTGAAAAAACAGATTTAGGACAGATTTTGAACCAGCAAAACTTTTAGTTGTTTTTAAGGCAATATTTTATAACACTAAAGAGAGCAGTGCGTGTTATATACAATACGACTTACGAGGGGAATCTCCTAAAGAAATCAATATTTTGATATTATTTATAGTTCTAATTATAATAATTAAAATTTTATTTATTTATAGTTTCATCGAAAAATCAATCGATTTATTCCATATTAGTAAGATAGAATATACATATATTTTCAGTATATACATCTAAGTTTAGGTTTTATTTCATGCATATTTGTTATAGATACAAATAAAATAAAAATACAACTACATAATTAAACTTACTTAATTTAATCTGGGAATGGAACAGATTTTGTTTATATCAACATAGTGTTTGCAAAATCGCTCAAATATAAAACATAACAAACCCTTTCTGTAATAAAGAACATACATTTTGAATAGAAGAACGCGTTTACGTCCTTTGTTCTTAACATAGAAAAATACAAGTAAAAAACTGATAATATAAAAACATACATTTTATTATTATCTATATATTTTTTAACCATCTAACCATATATATATATAAAGCTTAATTTCTATAATTTTATAATAAAGCGATAGCAAGGAAGTTTCATGACGCATATTTGTAATTGAATATGAAAATACAGATTTGTTTGCCTGATATCTATTATCGTCTATCATATCAACTGACAAATCAACAGAGTAATATCTAAATCTGATAGTCTTCATAAAATATTTAATAGATTTTGATTTAACAAAAAAGTCCCTATAGAAAAATAGTTCAGTTACTCACGATTGTAAGTTACCACAATATGTCAAATGTCACCGATTGATTTGGGACTTTCCCGTTAAAACATTTAGGTTTAAAATCGAGTGGAGAAATTTTAAAGTATTGTATAACCTGATGTGCTGTTGACTGTACATAATGGCTACCGAATGTAATATATCTGATGAAATTCTTTAAATAAAACTTTATTTATGGTACAAAATAACTTTTAGTTTAATATCAGAACGTAGCCTTGATAGCTAAGCAGGTATTGTAGGAAGTTCTACTAACCGGTTAGTATGTATATAATTCAGCTTTATAGGTTGATAAGTAAATTCACTTCCTTGATGCAGTCAATGTCAATAAAATACAAATAAATACTAGAGTAATTTTGATTGCAATTAATTGTTTTTTTTTTTTTTACTTAAATAAGTTCTTCTGTTTTCGTCTGTTTTTAACATCTAACTCCACCTCCGAGGTCCACTGGCATTAGCAATTCACAAACTTTAGGAATCAATTTCAAGCTCACTTCCAACATATTAAAGTGCAATTGGGTAGATTGCACCATCCTTTATAAGTTGATGTGCTGTCGATTTTACTAATAATCAAATAATTTTCTGATAGATAATCGAATGACCATGCTTTAAGTTATAAATTTGAACAGCAGTATCTAAGTTAAAAATTTGTTATTACATTTTATCAGAGACGACGTGGAATGTTTTCAAATTTTTGTTTTTTTTTTTAATTATTATTTGAGCTTTTTTCGTTTCATATCAAGCCATTTTATTACATGCTGCAAAACACCTGCAAACCTACTAACTCATTCTGTGCTTTGAAAATTTCTTGATTTCTTTAAGTCCTGTGTTATACATACGAGTATAAACCTTTCTATTTTTGATTACTCTGTAACAGTGTTATTATATTAATAAACAAGGTTTAGCGTTAGAGTAAATTTACGCTGAGACTGCACTTAGTATTGGTCAAAATTTATATTATTGAACAGAGACTTAGTAAAGGTTAACCTAGTACGAGGTTCTACGGGAGTACTATTTACTCCTAAATGACAGTAGACTTGCTTATTTTTTGTATAATATGAATTTGGACTACCTAATACTAAAATTGCAATTATGGTGTAAATTTAGCGTTGGAGTAAATAATTAGTAAATTTACACTGAAACTGCACTTAGTATTAGTACATAATAATATTATTAAACACTTGTAGCCGCCAGCGACTTCGTCCGCTTCTCCATTATTTCTTCGCTCCTTATAGTTGCAGCGTGATGTTATATAGACTAAAGCCTTCCTCGATAAATGGTCTATTCAACATAAAAAGAATTTTTCAATTCGAACCAGTAGTTCCTGAGATTAGCGCGTTCAAACAAACAAACAAACGAACTCTTCAGCTTTATAATATTAGTTTAGATAGACTCGGCAAAGGTTAACCTAGTACTAGGTTTTACGGCAATAATATTTACGCCTAGAAGGTAGTTATGATGGCTCATCCCTTGTCACGTGTTGTGAATGTCAGTACATAATTAAAGAATATATGTATGCAGCATAAGTATCCATTGTATTAAATTTCGGGAATCGATTAAATACTTTGTTGCAATCATTTAGACAAAACAAAACCATTAATGGCATCCGGTACAATTACAGTGAATACTAAAGAACAAACACCTTTATTGCATGCAAGGTATAAAAGAGCTGACATTAACAATAAACGACAATATATACTTTAGTAACTCTAGTAGTAAGTCAGATGTCGGATCACCCGACGTTAGTATTAAGGAAGGCTCGATCATGAGCACTAGTATGTAAAATTTATGTAATAAAATTTATAAAATAAATTCTTTTTTATGAAGTCTGCCGTTCGCCCACACTTGACTAGGTAGTAGGTTTGTTTATTATCTGTATATTATGAATTTAGACTAATACCAAAATTGCAATTTAAGCGTAAATTTACTTTGGCGCCAAACCTAGTTTACTGATAACACTGTAAGATGTTTACTGTGATAAAATGGCTTTGAGTATCGATAAAGCTAGTTAATTCTCAATATAATGATTAAACAAAAATCCCCTTCTTTATCTAAAAGGAAAAGTGCAAACTATACTCATGTGTTATACTACCTACTTATACACAACACAGGTGTTCATTTAAAAAAAGTTAGTCTGAGTATGAACTGCAATTTAGCATAACATAAGAAAAAAACATTTTAATTCTAAACTTATTTTCGGTAATCTACTAATGTAATGGATTACCAAAAAGTAAATTTGATATAATCTCGCGTAATAAGCACGTAATCTTAGCAAAGTGTTGTATTCCTCTTTTTAAAAGGCGAAGGTACATACATATATTTAATTTTACAAAACAGTCTTCAATTTAGGTGAATCTTTCTTTTATCCTAGTAAAAAAGTATAATCTAATGTCGAATTGTACTAATATTAGGTCAGTTACACAATGATTTCATCGCGTGAACGTGAAAGTCGTCACGTGAGCGCTAGGCGCTAGGTATATGGCATCCTGTGGGGCCCGCGCATTCGTTTGAAGAACATTGAAGGCTGTGACGTCACACGCGCACAAGCGCGCGCGACTGCCGGCGGGGAGGTGGGGCGCGGGGCACGACCGAGGGTGTGGTGCACATGCGCTAACCGCGCCGTCCCAAGGTGACCCTCACGCGCTCGACTAGCAAGCATTCTGCGTACCCGGTCAGAGTACTCTAGTCTCTACTCCTTTCACTTCTGCACGACTAAACGGTCACTGATACCGGTATTCGCACGAACGCGGATACCATTACAGTTCTGTGTGCAGTGGAATTTATGACAGCACCCTGTGGACCTCAACGTTACTCGTTCATCACCTTTTATCTCAGTCAGCACGACTGACAAGACGAATCGATATGCGTCAAGCAAGAGATATTGTAAGTAGTAGAAAATTAAATATTTGCATGCATCGATACATTATTAACTAGTAATTAATGGAAGCGGATCGATGTCAAAATTATGACAACTTGTTACCTACAAACCTTAAAAATAACGAGGCAAGTTTAACAGAATGAGGTTATGTCAGACACCGATTCATTATAATTATTTTTGAATATCAATAAATTTCACTTTCGGTATGTATGACACAGCCTAGACCTAGAAATGATACGTAGAGTATATTTATGTATCGCTAATAAATAATAAATCAATATCTTTGTGCGGTAGACAGACATAAAATGTGACAAGATCGCTGAAACAGCATAGCACCTGCATCTATATTTTATTTCTCACCATATAAAAAAAAATACCTAGTGACGTTACACGATTATAAGTAATATACGTCTCAAGGTCGTCTTTAAGGTCATACTATAGTATAGGTACATTTTCATCATAAGGAAAATAATGGATGTAAGTCGTATTTGTTTTTCGATAGAAAGACTATTGCTTACTACTGTGTTGGTGAAAACTGAAAATCAACTAGATACGTTCTCTAATTGGAGTTGTAGCATTTATAGCTTTTAAATAATGCCTGGCCAACTCATTTACCAAATATGAATTAAAAATACTGTATCTTCTTGTTACAAATGATAATTAATTATTGAAAAACCTTATCTCCAAGGTATCAAATATGTGCTGTTTTATGCAACTAAATTGATCACTATTGAGTATTAATAGCTATCCAATAGTGGTGTAAAAAGAAAAAAAAAAACATTTTGGGGTCTTAAAAATTGATCTATACGTTAGGTCTTAATAAAGGTCATTACACCACTTACATCCGTCAAGTTCATTTTTGCCGTTCCTCACATTTTTGGTTGAATGTATTTATAAATTTAGCACATCAACTTAATCATTTCTGTGGTCGGTTTTAACCGGTTCTTGTACTAACAACAGCTCAAATAAAATGTCATATGATAATTCGCAAACCATGTTTTCAAATTAGCATATACATCACATCGTCTGCCAGTGTTCGCAAAATAGTTGTTTTTAATGTCAATTCTTATAAGAATAACCATTTTCATACAAAAAAAACTAAACTAAAACTAAATGCTAAAATATTCACTTGGAGGCACATCATTTGATAACAATTCGATGTTGTCGACAGCTTTGCCACCCTCTTTAGATAAGTTTTTTTTTATATTTTTTAATTTGAATTTTATATGACTTTGTCACTTATTGCTCTTTATTTCTGTCTGTTTATCTGTGTTTGTGTTACGTAAAAGTAAATCTTAGTCGCTAATTTCTTTTTTATTTAAAGTAACCTACAATCCACGCTCCTGCTGTCGATGATAAAAGACATAAGTATTCATATTTCAAATTAGATATAAAATAATAAATATTTCATAAAACTGGAAGTAGCTTGAAAAGCGGAAACTTAATTTTCATGGCAACATGTGTCGAACCCTAGTTTTAAATTATGACATATTATAAACAGTTAATAATAATAAAGCATTCATTTTGCCAGTTAATGCATAGAAACAGAAATATTATACAATGCTTAATGTAAAAATTGTAGAGTATCGTTAATTAGACTTTGCACCCATCTAATTTGGTGCCGTAATGTCGTTTGGTTTGCCCTGTTATAATGACGCAGACAGAATGCGATGTTGCCGCACTTGGACACTGTTATCAGCTGGCGTAATGTTTAGGTAATATAATAATCAAATTAGTAATTTTCAGCCACAGAATAAACACGAAACTAAAAAGAAAGTCGACATTCTTTATTTAGATTAGATTTTTATCCTGTATAAATACAGGATTAATTACGATTTTTCTGAATGTATTTCCATTTCGTTTATAAGCAGCTTTCGTTTTAAAAACGGCAATCAAAATGTAAACAGACTGCTATGCCAAGTTTAAAGTTTTTGTTTATATTTATAATGTCACGATAATCGCACCAATGTAAATACACCTCAATGAAGCAATTGGCATGACGCAAACAGTATCAAATAAAACTAATGATGACGGGCAAGTACACAAGGCCTTCACTAGTCTGTCATTGCCTGAAATGTAATCATAACACTTTATCAGTGGAAAACATAAATAATACATAGCCAAGCAGAATTAGAATGTTATACACTAGTCTAGTATATAAAAACTATTTTTGTGTGATACAAAAGGCATTTATATAAAATCGCAAGACTTGAATTAATTGAGAAATTGTTGATATGTTTTTATATTAAACTTACAACAAAATAGGTAACGAAAATTAAATCAAGTTACATATTTGATGAAAATAAGTAAAATTTCGATTAAATTATATTCTACTGGATAGGTACAGTTAACAGCACATAAGGTTATATTATACAAATATAGCACATTTCTCCATTCGATTTTAAAACCTAATCTTTATAAGGATAGAATTTAAGATCACTGGAGAAATGTTATATATATATAGCGGTAATCTGTCGTGCAGTCGTGTGTATACTAAAAGACTTGCATGAGCCACTAATTTTACCTACAATACTGCATCATTGATAAGCTATCATTTGAATCTATCTTTGTAGTCTGGAAAAAGTCGTTATCAGCATTTCATGATTTGATCGTTAGTACGTCTAGCCATCGCACCACACCTAACGTTTATAAAACAAAAAAGATAAGACAATTTGCACATGGAAAAATTTGGCGGATAACGTGATTAGTAGACATATAATTGTCACAATGAATAAACCAAGATAGGCACTGAAATTCAGTTTACATGAGTAATTGTAGTATGAAGTTACAAAACTAAGGTACTGTCGCCTAATTACACCCACTGATTTTAATCGCTGGAGTTCTAAAAACTAACTAGCATATATCTTAATAGTAGTCCCACACCGACAGATCGTCGTCCTTAAAGATCATTATATTATTTCATTAAATTATAATGAAATTTGAAGCTATATTAGACGGTTTTTCGCGCTTTGGCGGTCAAAAACAGTGGGCGTTATTAGGCGACAGTACCTTACTAATGTAATCTGAATTAATACCACGAGTATTAAATGTATATGGTTGTTTTATATACATTTAAATAAAGTATATACTTATATATATACTTTTTGTTTACCAACAGAAATACCGATAGCAGTATTTGCATAAGTAACTAGCTGTTTTGCCGCTAATTCGCTCGCGTAAATTATAGCCTACCATCACCATGTACCTCGTTTTTGTCAAAATGTATTTTCAAACGTAAAATTAAAACTTTTTTCAAAATCTCTTTTAAATTCAAGGACGGCAAGAAAGGTTATGAAGGAAAAAAAAAGTTAAAAGAAAAATAATATTTTTCTACACAAACTCGGATATGCGAAGATCGCCGGATCAGACTCGACAAAATTCTTGGCAAATTGAAACGCCAAATAAAAAAGGGGTTAGTTAACTTTAGCAGGCAAAAAACGTAAATATAAATAACGCGAGGAGTCGTCACGAGACGCCCATCTTAAAAATAAACAAAAATCTATGCCAAGAGAATGCTTCAGCGTGCGTTCGTCCTGCCGTGGAGCAAACAATGTTCTATATTAAGCCGCAACCGAGCACCATATTGCTATTTTGTCTACAAATTGCTGTTCATCAAAGCGGTAAAATTTTTATATCCGACTTCAAATGTTGTGTTTCAATATTATGTTTTAACTAATTATCTGCCTGGAAAAAGTTGCTACCATGTCAACTAGGCCGTCTGCTGTGTTTGTTGTTGTTTGAGATGTTTCTATATAACCGTACACAATAAAATATATTAAATATTTCATTAATTAGTCCAAAATATTAAATTTATCTTTACGGGGCTAAAGCGTTTTTAAAATTTGTAAGTTAACAGTGATTATATCATTATTACAAAGATTTAAATAGAAAAATATGCTTACGAAGAAAATAAAACTACTAAACACAACAATAAACATGGAAAAAGTATCTGCCTAATCTATATTTTTACCAAAAAATTAAGTAATTGAATGTCGTGTATGTTATAAAGCTCTACTATTTCCCTTATTTCGTAGAGTTGCGAAGCAATTTCTTTATTTATGTATGATTGACGATATGTCTTACTTTACCTCTTACTCTCGAACGCAATCACGACCGATCATATTGCTCTGCACTCTTGATTGGTTCACTAGCATACTCTGGCGCTAGTGTAACCAATCAAGAGTACGAAACTGGGGGCCAATTATACTAAAATAAATTTTGTTTAAATCGAATCGAAAACGGATCGAAACCGAACGAAACTACAGTTTTTAATGATTTTTCTATTCTACTAAATGACATAATTGTATCGTATGTCACTTTGTAGAATTGGCCCCTGCACATTCGCAATATCGATCGATCGCGATCGGCAGATTGACATTAGAAAGTAGGTATTAAAATATTGATTCAAAAAATATTACTATATTTTTACATTTAATAAAATACATTACATTACGGTCATATATCATCATTCAGATTGATTAAAAATTAAATAGGAAATTATGATAGAAAATTTGGCTTTATCAACGTGATATAATCCCTCCTAAAAGTTTAATTAAACAGTGTTGTAAAATGCACAGTGTGATACGTGCATTTTTTTTTAATTTATTTGACTTACCAACATCTGTTTACTATGATACGTACTATTAATAACATTTATTCTTTTTTTCTGCCTTATTGCAACAGACACTTATAGGTTAGCTGCGCATGCATAATGAGCTTACAGTATTTATTTATTTATTAATTACAGACTTATATGTTCAAAATATATTAATATATACTAAAATATATTATACATACATACAAAATATATTAATACAGTATAAGCCATATAATTTTTTTTTTCTTTCATACATGAAATATATATATTATTATATGAGGTTAACAATACTAATTTTATTTGCTATTATATTTTAGAAAATCTAGGACATTTTTGTGGAATATGAAGTAAGAATCCAAATGTAAATCAAGTAAATCGCTACAGGAATTAAAAGTTTTGGAAAGTCTGACAACCGGCGAATTTAAACCCAATACCGTTTTTCTCAAGGGAGGACATAGAGGTGTGATACGACTATGCGGGGTTCTTGATGGGGCTCGAAATCGGAAATTACTCAATAATTTACTATTGTCTATTTTACCTCTCATTAGTTTGTAAAGAAAAAGCATGTCCAAGAGATCTCCGCGTAATGCTAGGGAATCCATCCTGAAGAATTGCAATCTAGAATTATACGACCTTAGTTGTCTTATGCGTCGAGAAAGAGAGGTGCCAAAGGAAACATTTCTGAATACGCTCTAAGCGCAAAGTGTGTGTGGCGTAGTGTAGTCTCCACACCACACTGCAATATTCCAATATACTTCTCACTAGACTATAGTAAATTAAGATTTTAGTAATAGCATGATGGAAATCTTTGGTATTCCTTATAACAAATCCTAATGCCCTGGATGCTTTGCTATGTTATCTATTTGAGGTAAAAAGGTTACTTTTTTATCGAACAGAACACACATCCCTACTTGATCATTTTAAGAAACAATTTTCAGTATAAATCTACATTTTGTAAGCCATAAAAACATTTATAGGTATATAAACTTAAATAATAATGAATAACAATACATAATGTCATGTCGTATAATATATTGTCATCTGAATTTCCTGACTGCAGGAAAATGCGTCACAGTCATAAGGAAAATAATTTACTGAGGTACTTACCCAAAGATATTGCAAGAAGGCAAGTTCATATTTCTTTTGTATTTTCCCTCCTTACACATTTAAAAACTAGCGTCATTAAAAATGGCTACATCACAAACGCAAACAAAATAGAAATAGGAGAGTATTTTTTTTTAAACTAATAGAAAAATTTTTTTTAAACATAATTGTTGTCCAAAAATTATGAACGAAATGACAAAGGAAACAACATCTCTATGACGATAATCTAAAAGTTTTGACTAAACTTGATGATAATGTAGCTGTTTACCTAATGTATACCTTATCTGTCAATTTTTTCTAAATATTAAATTACAAACGGATCTTTTTTGAACTTTGATCAAGAATTAAAGTCTATAATATCTCACAGAACATATATAAAAAACACTTTAAAAAAATGTAATACTAATTGTTAATTTATTTTTGACTTAATATTAAAATATTGTTCCTGAATAAGATAAAAGAAGGAAAAGGTTGGTGCTAATTTCCAAAAATAGAAGTAATTTTACATGTAATAAATGTTATAATCTTGGATGATGTGATTTTTACATATAAAAATAATTTTATGTGATATTCATGAAAGGAAAATATCACATCGACCTTAAGCGAAAAACTAGTTTTAACCGGATTTAATGCCAATATTTTTAGAAGATAAGATTAAATACATTGAGCACGGAGCCGTGTATCAGCCACTTGAAATTGCGTTCGTTTAATTAATACTAATAATAAGTTCCATTTATCCGAAGCGACAATATTCCATAAAAAACAATACAAATCGACAATCATAATTTTTTTTTGTTTAAATATACATATTTAGACAGATGTAACATGAATTGATAAGTGTGTTGTTACTGTTAAATATAAATTGCATAATAAACCTATTTGTTACATTAATAATCGTGTTAATTAGAAAAAGGATAAATTAAACTTAACAATAATTTAGATTATTAAGTTATAATCTACATGGCCGTCCGTCTGTGCATACGTGAGCTAACACACCCACTTAACACACATACATGGTTACCACTACTGATGCAACCGTGAATAAAGAAATCGAGGAATGTGCTCTGACGTCACGAACGAGCCCACGTGTGGACCAATCAGAGAACAACAGAGTGTCGAAGGAAATTGGAATTTTTAAAAACATAAATTATCAAGAAAATCAACTTCTCCAGAATAATGGAGACGATTACGACGATTATAAAATTATTGAAATTTTCACAAAAAATATCCTTGTAAATTTCTTAATAATGGCGAAACATAAGCATCAATATAGTTGTACTCTTCAGTTACTTTGAAAACTGAGTCATACGAAAGAGATAACAACTGAGTTAGTATTATGAATGAAAAGAGCGGGTTTGTATAGAGCGGCTCCAACAATTGTGGCCGTATTCCTCATTTACTTGCGAGTTTGGCAAGACGTGTCGTAATTTTTAACTCGCGCAGTGAGTTCTTACGTTAAATTTAATACAGTGATAGAATTGTGCTAATAATAAAATTAAAAAATGGGAATGGCAATCAATAATTTACCTTTGGTGAGTGAATTATTACTTGGGTTTATAAAATACTGTATAAAAGCCGGCATTTATTATATTGGAAAGCAACGGTAGTGTTGTAATGACCGCTTTGACCTTGTGAAACTCGTTCGCGATAATGAACGGCTTGCTTGTGTACAATCGCTCCTTCAGTTGTGTGCAGGAAAATTGCATTTTTGTATTGTTTAGGGTCAATAGAACGAAATTCCAAGTTCAGATTAAGTAAGATTTTCTTTATCGTTTCAATAACAAATCCTTCCTTAGGAAATTATTTATCAACACGTAAATTTAATTATTTAAACCTGAAAGAAGTTTCAATAAAGACGTTTAATTTTATTCTCTCTAATGAAACTAATTCATACACAGTTTTGCATCACAATTTATTTGTATAGCGTCGAATATTTTTTTTTTTATTTACCTCTCGTGAATGACTTATTTATAGGTCCTAACAGAAAATCTAAAATTAGTACCTAGTTTCGTTTCTCTTTCGACGTCAATATGAATATGAGTGCTCTTGTGATCCAACTGCTCATGTGATGTTTTCAGATCCGCGAGGAATGCGAGATCCTACATCTGACAGACAAACAGATCAGAGAAATAATGAGCAGACTCCACAATGACCTTGTGAAGGGTCTTGGCAAAGATACACATGCCAACTCTATTGTTAAGTGCTGGCTTACTTATATACAAGATTTACCAAATGGAAAAGGTGCGATTTCAGTTTTCATGTCTATAATGTCATTTTTTTTTTATTCAAACCCATGTAGTCAGAAGCATCTAGATACACATTAACCGATGTAATTATTTTTCAGAACGCGGTAAATTTTTGGCTCTGGATTTGGGTGGAACAAATTTCCGAGTATTAATTATAAATCTTGGGGAAAACCATTTCGATATGCAATCTAAAATATACGCCATACCCAACCATATAATGACTGGTACAGGCGTCGCTTTGTTTGATCATATTGCAGAATGTCTGGCTAACTTTATGAAGGTAATAATGAAAGTTATTAAGATGTTACAATTAATATTTTTTGATGAAGAAATATTGTTTGTCATATTGTATCGTACTGATTTATAGGAACACCACGTATACGAGGAACGTTTAGCTCTTGGTTTCACATTCAGCTTTCCTCTGAAACAATTGGGTCTCACCAAAGGCATCTTGCAGCGTTGGACTAAAGGATTCTCGTGTAGCGGTGTGGTCGGCGAGGATGTCGTCCAAGGTCTCAAAGACGCCATCGCACGAAGAGGGGTAAGATTATCCTTTTATCATTTAGTTCATTATCAATGCACTTATATCAAATCGTCTGTCAAAATGTCCCTACAAAGATAATAAATATTTAGATAACAAATTATATGTTACTCAAAAGATGTATAGTACCTACATGTTATTCTTAGTAATAAAAAAATGTATTCAGCCCAAAAAGTATGCAAGCTTTAATGAAAATAGAAAAGCCATCCTCTACTTGGCCTTTAGTGAACATAGACGTATTTTCCCATTTATTGTGAAGACATCAGGCTAAGGAGCTATACATGAATTCTGTTTTTTATGTTTCTCAACAAACATATCAACAGCCATTAAAAATTTATAGCAATTTTCCAGGATCTTGAAATATCAGTGATGGGCATTTTAAATGATGCCACAGGCACTCTTATGTCTTGTGCACACAAGGAACGTAATTGCCGTGTAGGGATCATTATTGGTGAGTTGATGATGATAACAGCTCTCTATCTATAATAATAAGGCATGATACTAAGGAGCCGATACGAGAGCCATAGAGGCTTTCAAGGTGACCTATAACAACTCAGTGCTTACATATTTTGTTCAATACAACCACTATAGCATGAAATCTTAGGCAAAATTTTGTTCCTTTTCATGTGTCGTCTCTTATGCAATAATTTTTTCATATATCACTACCTATATTAGGTAACCCACCCCTACACTTTTATTTTATTGGCTTCACTACAATCATTTTGATTTTTACTATTTTTTGAAGGTGTTGATGAAGAAGTTGAAATGTACGAAATTGTGAATCTTTATCATTTTCAAATTATTATTCACCAATTCATTTAGTTTGTAGGTTAGACAATGTTTCGCTTAGTGACGCTCAGTAGGAAGGCTTCTTACTTTTTTGTTTTCAAAATTTTGAGTATTGCCATGAGATTGTAACTTACCCATAAATAATGGGTACTGAATTACATTTTACAGTAGCGGTCGTTAATATAAGTTTGCTCTGAAACCATTGTTATCGATCGCTATAAACGTTTAATCACTCTCAGTCGCGTTTTTATAGATTTCATATTCTTATGGCATTCTGAATCCAAAAGTCGTGACAGTCTATACATAGTAGACTCGAAACACTTTTAAATTGGCAGTTGTTAATTTGTTTGCGTTTTAAATATAAATTTAAGTAATTAACATTTTTGCACACTATAATAATGTAATTAACTTTTAAATTAATAAAATAATCATTAGAGACAATAATATTAACTGAGTTGCTATACAAATTGAAAGCCTCTGGAATCATCTTCAACACTTCGCTGGAATATTCCTTCATAACCCAACTTGAATGGAATGAAATCTATATCTTCTAATTAGCATGTTTCTCTCATTCTTGTAGGACGTACAGATAGACATATGTGCTATTTTGAATGACACTACGGGCACATTGATGTCTTGCGCGTGGAAAAACCACAACTGCAAAATAGGACTTATCGTTGGTAGGTTTAAATTGTTATTTGCTCTAGTCTGGTGTGTGGGCTTTATAGTGAAGTTTTGGTTTTTTTATTCGGTTATTTTATCTACGTTATCGCTTGCCATCATAAAATGCATAAGCAAATTATTTCGCTCCACTTATCATAATTTCACATTCAACGAGCATGCACGTAAAATAACTTATAATCAGTCATGTGTTGATATGCGATCGTACCCTAACCAAAAAAAACCCAGTCATCATTTTCCTTGACAATCTTTATTTTGCATGAATCACAACTTCTATAACAATCATCGCATTAGATGACTGGGAATATTTTATTGTACATACTTATTTGTTAACATTTTTTATTCTATTTTAGTAAAATATTCTGCAAGTAGTAATAAAATTAACTTTTTCCTTTACCTACTAACATAAATTTGTGATATCCAAGATCTAATAACAATTTTTATAAAAACAACTCTTTTTACCCGGGCTCTGAAGGTATTTTAACTGTATTCATTATTTATCTATATAAATATATACTTACGAATACTTGTAGGCTCCCCGTAATATAAAATAATTATAATTAGTATTATTCATTAGTATTAGTACTCATTTTAAGTAAATACTGCATATTCTTAAGAAAATATCTTTAAAACTTTGAAAAAACATGTTATCTTTTATGAATTAATTTGCTATAGGTACTTAATTCAGTTGTAGGTACACATAAAACTAACTAGACAGAAGTTCTGTCTAGTTCGTTTTCCTGTTGAAATTTTTTTCCATCTGGAGATTACTCACATCTCCTTTGTTGCGTCACTAAAATGTTGAAATGCAATGGATTTTATTTAATATTATTTACGCAAACCTCAGGTACTGGAAGCAACGCGTGCTATGTAGAGAAGACCGAGAACTGTGAGTTATTTGACGGTGAACCGGGCAAAGATGAACTTTTAATCAACACCGAATGGGGTGCTTTCGGTGACGACGGCACTCTAGATTTTGTTCGTACGGAATTCGACCGTGAAGTCGATAGCAACTCCATCAATCCTGGCAAACAAATGTAAGATATATTTATTAATTATCATTGCGTTATGTAATTAATCATCGCCGTTAAAAAAATTAATATGATTTTAACCTGACATGCAATCAGATGATGCAATTTTCTCGAAACATAATTGATAAGAAAAGACAAACAAGACTCTTAAATTTATTAAAATTTAATTTAATCTTTGACAGCAGATAATGCTGGATATTAACCTTCGACCAAAAAATTATATTAACTGATGCAGATATTAAACCAATATTTTTATATTAGCAATACGCGAATATCGTATAAGTATATAATATCGTATAATAAACTTCTTAAATATAAAGCTACTGATACACTTTAGCATTTACTTTTTATTTCAGAATTGAAAAAGTAAGAGAATTAATCATATAAAAAACATATAGCTAAGTACTCATATTCTTGCAACAGTCTGGTAAAAACTGCTATCGTTTCTCTAGACTGCTAGCTAAAATGCTCTCTTTTATTTTTTGAATCTATGTAATTGAAAATGATTTATCAGGTCTGTCAGCATCTATTTTCCTGGCACATATATACCTACAAATCTTTGTAGTTTTCTTCTTGGAAATCATGATTTTGTGTTAAATATCAATTTTCTCTTATGTGTTAAGTAAAAAAAAACTATTACTGTATTGTTACAGTCAAGAAAAAATGATTTCTGGAATGTACATGGGAGAACTTGTAAGGTTAGCTTTAGTGAAGTTCACGAAAATGGGACTATTGTTCGGAGGGAGGGGTTCCGATTTGCTATTCCAAAGAGGCAGCTTCTACACCAAATATGTATCTGAAATAGAATCAGACAAGGCTGGCGACTACACGAGCTGCATGGAAGTCTTAGAAGAACTTGGTGAGCTATTAAATATTAATGAACATTATTATATTTAATTAATTTTGCATTCACAATGCTATACTGAAATACATTCTTAATGAAAAAATGCTTATAAAATCTACTTAGTCCCTGATACTCTCAGAGTGTTGTCCCATCTCAGAGTACCAGGAACAAAGTACATTTTTTAACCACTTTTCATTAAGAATACTTTTATATATACTTACAAAAGAACTTGTACTGATTCACTGACTCATCATCGTCTAGCGTACTATTTAAATATTTGGTTAGAATAGTTATTTTGTGAAGTAGACACTTAATAAGGAAGAATTTTTGGAGATTCGAACCCTAAAGATGTGAAGCACTGATGAAAATTTGTTTGGAAAAAAATATTGCAGCTATTATGGAAATTTTATTATTATTAAGGTTTTATTATGAAAGGTTATACTTCAAACGATTTAATTCATTTTAAAGCCATATTATAAAAAAGTTAGTATTTTGCGCTTATTCTTAAATACTCCACAGTCCAAATAGGATTTTGTTTATTATTATATTATTGTTATTATAGAACATGACATTTAAATACTACTAATATTAATAAGGGGCGGCTGTTCTTAAGTATATTACCCATTATAGATAATACCTACTGCACATTCATATCAGATAGGATAGGATTAAAAAGTCTGGTGTTTATATCATGTAAATGATCGTGACTTCTGCATTACCTACCACAGTGAAGCCTTTGATAAGATTACAAAAATAACTCCAGATAAAAATTAATATAAGTTGATTAATTGCTTGTCATGGTTACATGGAAGAAAGCTTAACTTATTATAAATTATATTCTTATCTACCAGTAATATATTGACTAGTGGTACCCTCCCTCTTTGGTAAATTTCAAGACTAAAGTCACGATACTTTAAACGTGACAACTATTATATAACTAATCTTAGGCTTTACTGTTTATATATTTATCTTGGCACGTAAATTTAATGTACTTACCATAAACAAGTTACATAATTGCTTGCTTCAAATTTCAGACGGCTAGGTAATATGAACAACGCATAACTATGAAGCGATATTTCATAAATTTTCTTTTGAATTTTACAGTCACTACTTTACCGTTTCATTACTACTACTAATGGATGTAATTAGTGATGTAGGCTTGCGACAAAAAAATGATTTTTATCTATATGATCATACACCAGCCGCCCGCCTAACTTTCTAGCCATAAGACACGACGTCTTAGCGATGTTATGGCGACATGTCGTTTAATTTTACCACTTTGACGTGTCTATTGCTGGATTTTGAGATAAATGGCAGTCGGTAACGCTGCTGTCAAATCATTGTTCGTAATTCGTTGTTATTAAATTACATGTCTTACATGTCGAAGTTGTGAATTTGAAACAAAACATCGCCAAGATGTCTTATCCTATGGCTAAAGATATGGCGACCTCTTAGCGATATTTTTGATAAAAATCAGCAAAACATTTTTATAGCTATTGCTAGTAGGTAGCTAGAGAGTACGCCGTCCAGCTGCTTGTCCTTTGCCGCGCAGGCAAAGGACTGAGTACCACAAAGTCCGTTCTTTTTGCTTGTTATTCAAAATGCTCACAGGTTTTTTTTACCTTTAGATATCATTTTCCGATAACACGCTATTAATGCGATCATGAAATATGACATCCTCTAGCCTACTTTCTTCGACTAAATGTTAGAAAAAGTTTTTAATTTATGTAAATCATTACTTTTCTGCCAGCGACTTCGCCCATGTGGTCTCGTATTATAAGATATAAATCTTCCTCTTGAATCACTCTGTATATTGCCGAAAACCGCATTAAAACCCATTGCGAAGTTTTATAAAAGATCTCAGCGTACAGAGAGCGGGAAGCGACTTTGTTTTATACGTATCTATGTATAGATTTATATTGAAATGAAATAGTCCCAGACATTTTTTTAAATATTTAAACGGACGTTAAAAGAACTGTACTTTGTTATAATAACTGATATAAACAATGTTACGTCAATTACGTTACGCGTGGGCTTTTGACCCTTCATAAAAACCCGGATTTCCCTTATCGATGACAGACAGGAACTTTATCTCTACTATGTAACTCAAATGGTATTAGATATCAATAAGGTTTATTTAAAAAAAAATTACACTCATATTTTTAGTCGAATAGAAGTAATTACTTAGATTCGTGCAATTATTTCAAAAATAATATTACAGCTTAGTATTTACAAATTTTGTGGCTCAAATAATAATTTTATGAGTGAGTGGGACGGGACAAAATAGTAGATGCATGTTTCCTGTTAACCAACACGGAACTCATTAAAAATATATTGTTATAATGACAGCCTATTAACATCGTGGTTTTTAAACAGCATCCATGTTATTTCTAATTGACTGCAAATTTTCGACGGTACGAGCAATTTGGTGTTGACTTGGCAACATTTAACATGATATTTTTTGGTGGGTTTTTATAAATAGTGATATATACTCATCCCATATACTAATAAAAGGTAAAAAAGATGAAAATAAAGCTTCAGCTATCGTATCTTTGGCTTGATATGATAGAAAAGTTGCTTGAAATGCCAAATTTATTTACATGCATAAATATCATTCTTGAGTCGAGAGCATGCGAGGGAAAACATTCAACGATAAAAAAATAAAGAAATTATGACGATCCCTAGATTTTAAACTTACGTTAATGGCTATTACTCACTATCTCTTTTACTTAGGAACGACGAGGACATTAAAACCTTGAGAGACGCACGCGGTATCATTTATTGTCAAAATATTCACTTACATAGCTTGTTAACACGCTTGCAAACATGCAAAAAATTGAGGTATTTTTTAGGAAGGATAAGGTCAATTATATCTGTGACTTTCCTGGTAAGACAATAGACGACGAAATGAGAAACCACTTAGAAACGCTTCTGAAATATTTAACACTTGAGTATTTGTAACATGAGAGAAAAACACATTCATAGGTATATATCTAGGTAACATTAGCAACAAAATGATTGCGATTTTTAAAGCATTTTCATATAGTAAAGCTAAGCTAAATAAAACGAAAAACGTTTGTATGAAAGAAACGTTTTTAACCTGTAACCGTCTTTGGATTGGAATTTTCAAAAACTTTCTTATTTACTACATTATTTCAAATTTCAATTCTCTACGACCAGCAGGGGTTCGAAGGCCTTACTCTCTAGCAAATATTCTAGCCATAGGATACATAAGACATGTTATCAATAAAGTACATGTTAAAGTATTGGGTTGGCACAAAAGTAATGAGACACACTAGAAAAATCTATAACATTTCCTTTTTAAAATCAATTTTTCGATAATATTCTAGAATGTTGTAGAACATTCTAGGTACTTCTGGTGTAGGGTATATAAAGCCGCGCTCGCAATTTGTTTAGTCAGTTTGAAGAAAAATGGACGAGCGACAAGTTCGATCACTATACTTATACGAGTACTTGTTAGGCCACAGTGCGCGGGCTGCGGCTCACAATATCAACAATGCATTAGGCGCTGGAAGTACAAGCCATGCGACGGTGTCCCGATGGTTTGACCGTTTTAAATCAGGAGACAGGAGCCTTGAAAGTCAGCCACGCTCAGGGCGACCACCCGCAGTGAATGATGACGATTTGCGCCGCGAACTGCAGTTGAATCCGGATGATACCACTCGTAAATTAGCGGAAGCACTTAAATGCAGTCACCACGCTGTGGAACACCATCTGCATGAGCTTGGTTATCGAAAAGTTTTGGCTCGGTGGGTACCGCACATCCTTACAGACGCCAGTCGTGCAGTCCGTGTCGCTATCTGTCAGTCACTTTTGCTGCGACCCTGACGTAAAGAGTTTTTGTCAGATCTGGTTACTGGAGATGAATCATGGATTTATTACGAGAACGATACACGTCGTGCTTTTTGGCTGCCTCGAGAAGAAACGCCACCAACTCAACCGAAGCCGAGTCAAAAGAACCGCTGAAAAATTCTGCTTTGCTGTTTCTGGGATGCACAAGGCATACTGTTTTATGAGTTATTACACAATGAAACTATAAACGCTGACAAATATTCAACCCAGCTTACCAAATTATCTGCCGCTATCAAGAAAAAACGACGAAGACGAGTCAATGTAGTTTTACTGCACGATAACGCTCGACCTCACGTCGCATCTGTGGTTCGCCGGCAGTTGGAGAACTTGGGCTGGGAGACGATACCCCACCCACCTTATTCCCCAAACCTCGCCCCATCAGACTATCATTTATTTAGAGCCCTGAAATAGCATTTGCGGGGTAAACAATTTAATGATTTCTCTGACGTAGAGGCGGAGTTGAACAACTTTTTCGAGGCACAGCCATCAGAGTTCTGGGCAAAAGGCATCCAAACTTTGCCGGATCATTGGCAAGAAGTCTTAGATACTAATGCTAATTACATCATTGACTAAACTTTATTTATTGTAATAATAATAAAAAAGTAAAAACTTAAACCAAGTGTCTCATTACTTTTGTGCCAACCCGATATTAAAATGAAACGAAATACATCACTAAGACGTTTTCTATCATTAGAATCGTCAGGTGGTCGTTGTGTAGAGCGGCATATGCTGTAGGTGCGTTATCTCTAAGTCAGTTGATGTCAGGACAAAGATTCATATAATATAGGTGTCCAAAATAATGTAACAATTGTGTGATTTTTTGTTTTTTTTTGTATGTCCTAATCAGGATTATCTCATGCCACTGAAGCGGATATGGCTGCCGTGAGACACGTATGCGAATGCATATCTCGGCGTGCTGCTCACTTAGTATCAGCTGGTATAGCAACACTACTCAACAAGATGAACGAGCCACGTGTCACCGTCGGCATCGATGGCTCCGTGTACCGTTTCCATCCACATTTCCACGCGCTCATGTGCGAGAAAATTGCGCAACTGGTCCGACCCGGAATACAGGTACTACATTCGTGTTATAGAAATTGTTCAATTTAATGCATATGATACACGTTACTGTATAGAATAGATTTTACTGTTAAACTGCAGCACAGCGCTCGAAGGGTCGCCGCTTAAGTATACAGGAAGTGGATCAGGGATTCTTCTGTAGAATAAAAGACGCAGTTCTTTAAAATTATTCGGTTTATTTCAAGAATTAGCTATGACTAAATTTATAACAATTAAAAACTCTTAGCTCGTATTCCTTTGCCGTTCCAAACCCAAAAAGAAAGATCATAAACCAGCAAGAAAAGACAACGTAACTATATAATAGTAACTTAACTAAACAGTTGGAAGATGTGCTCCTTTCCTACCATCGCGTAGCTCTTAAGCTTCTGCCATAACTTTTTAGAGTTTTTACTGTTTTTATTTATGTGATTAGTAAAGTATATGTTTTTTTAATTTCAATTTATATCACAAGTTTTTTTTAAGTTTTATAAGAGATTTTTAAAGTTTCTGCTTTCTGACTTTTATATTTCTCATTGTAATCATCTCTGATACGGATCATCAGAGATGTGGGGATGTGGGGAGTTTTAAACTGTAAAAACTTTAATGGAGCATGCAGATCAAATAATGCGGTCAAACAATTACTAAAAATTACAACAATACTACCAAAACTGTCCACCCTATAATTATTCCAGTTGGTGGCATCCAAATCTCGGTTTAGTTGTTGATATTATATTCTTTAATGGTCTGAAAATCACCCACCGTGGACATCTTTGTTCCGTCTTTATTTTAAATATGTAATTAACTAATTAATCATCCACGACTCGGGGTGAGACATGTTTAGTATGATAATATGAAACAGTGACGCCAATCATTTGACGTAAATCATTCCTACGCAAACGATGTATTTATATAACACGAGAAAAACAGAAAAGTTAGCAAAAACTATTGTTTCATCTCATTTCATTTCATGTTGAGATATGTAAATGAGCTAGTTTTTGAAATAAATTGCAAACAAAAAACTATGAAACATATTGTTGTTATAACAAATTATGACGAATTTATTTCGGAATATAAAAAAAACTGTCGGTGCCTATACTATTAACGTCTATAATAAATAACAAGAAATCCAACGACAAATATTACGATTATAAAAAAAGTGTATAACGTACCTAATTTAAAACAATTATTCTCTTTGCTTGCTATTTTTTTGGATTGTCTAAATGTTTCTCCCTACTGACTTTGAGAACGCGTCATGTTTTCCGCATTACCACAACGCTTTGTGGTCAAGGCGTAAGATAGTCTCAATATTAATTTCCCTATAGATATAGGTAGCCTTTCTGTATTTGCCTTAACGTGTCACGGGTATTTTAAAATAATCATAACACGAATTTTTCAGACCACCAGTGTTCGTTCGGAATATGATTTTTCTTTATTGCATGTAAAATCTTACTAGAATACCTACTCAATTTAACTGTTGTAAATGTAAACGAAATATGACGTCAAACTAATTATAAAAGTTCAATGATTTTTGAATCGTCCACACATTTGAAGCACCAAATCAAAACATTGTTAGTTTATAAAATCATTATTTACATTAAGATAATAGTGTTTTGTTTGATAAACTACGTTTATATCAAAGACGAGCCCCTAGAATTAATTGAAGACTAAGATAAAGTTGTTTATATTTAAATGAATACAGGATATTCATTGAACTTTGCACAAGAATTCATTTATCTGTTTATATTCACGCGTCTATGGCTTATTATTGAAGACACGCCTTTTCTGATGAAAATATTGTCAACAATATGATTAAATATATAAAGTAATAAACAAATGGCTACCTCATTAACAAAAAAAAGTATCTAGTAAGTAGGTAAATAACGAAACAACGAGACATGCCAAAAAATTGGTTTTATAATCGTAATGACTACTATTAAAGTGATAGATTTCGCATTTTTCATCTGTTTAAAAGTAGTTTAATAAAATTAAAACGTAATTTATATTGAAATGTTATAATAGGCAGTCTTCGGCAGTCAACGTTTTCCAAACGAATCAACATAGTCTCACAGTGGTTTTTATACAAAACAGTCGGCATGCTACTTTTATTCTTTTTTCTATTAGTGGTTTCAATTTGTGCCTTACTAGCTTTCTATTAGTGGCTTCAATTTGTGTGGTCTTTTATCTATACTAATATTATAAAGCTGAAGAATTTGTTTGTTTGAACGCGCTAATCTCAGGAACTACTGGTTCGTATTGAAAATTTCATTTTGTGTTGAATAGACTATTTGTCGAGGAAGGCTTTAGGCTAGATAAAATCACGCTGTAACTATTAGGAGCGAAGAAATAAAGGAACACGCGGACGAAGTCGCTGGCGGCCACTAGTTATATATATAAATAAACCTTCCTCATAAATCACTGTATATTAATGTAAACAGCACTAAATAAATTGTGTAATTTAAAAGATGTCAGCGAACTGACAAATAGCGACTTCGTTTTACACTATATATAGAATTATACTTATCTAAACACTGTGCCTATAATACGAAGAGCTCGAGTAGATTTTATAAAATAAGTGCAAGTTTTTTGACTTTAACGTTCACTGTCGATCGTGATCGCCTCAAGATTTTAATATGACATGGGACAGTGCCCTCAGCGGTATCTACCAAGAACTACGAATCTCCATACAAATTCTTAACGCGTTAACGTAACGTAAAACTTCACATACCACTACAGAACAATTATTTTAGTTTAATTCATTTATTAGCTTAATACGTTTCTATAAAAACATGTTTCTAAAAATATTTTCAATGCAGCTCATAAAGCGCTATTTTTTTAATCCATTTTAAACACCGAATGTGAGATTAAAATGTACTGAAATCTTTTACTACACACGTGCTTAAAAGTATTTTTTTTTGGCCGAGCACCAAAGAAATTTAAAAAAAGTTGATGAAAATATATCTAACTTTAGAGGCCAAAGTATTTCAAGGAGCCTAGAACGAATATTTTCAAATAAAAATGTATCACACGAAAACATGTTCAAATATCACGTTAAATTTTAACAAATAATTTTTACCTTTAATACATACTTAGTTTTATTAACCTATATATTTGTTTTATTTCCTCGCAAAAAGCATTGAAAAATGTTGTAAGTGCCCCCAGCGGTATCTACCAAGAACTACGAATCTCCATACAAATTCTTAACGCGTTAACGTAACGTAAAACTTCACATACCACTACAGAACAATTATTTTAGTTTAATTCATTTATTAGCTTAATACGTTTCTATAAAAACATGTTTCTAAAAATATTTTCAATGCAGCTCATAAAGCGCTATTTTTTTAATCCATTTTAAACACCGAATGTGAGATTAAAATGTACTGAAATCTTTTACTACACACGTGCTTAAAAGTATTTTTTTTTGGCCGAGCACCAAAGAAATTTAAAAAAAGTTGATGAAAATATATCTAACTTTAGAGGCCAAAGTATTTCAAGGAGCCTAGAACGAATATTTTCAAATAAAAATGTATCACACGAAAACATGTTCAAATATCACGTTAAATTTTAACAAATAATTTTTACCTTTAATACATACTTAGTTTTATTAACCTATATATTTGTTTTATTTCCTCGTAAAAAGCATTAAAAAATGTTGTAAGAAACTTGAGCGTAAAAGGTTTTTCGAATTCGTGCCAATTTGGCCCTTATTCGTAAAACCTTACTTTCCGCACTCGTATCTTAAATAACTATTATAAATAAAACTTTCTTGTTTTGTTACAGTTCGATTTGATGTTATCGGAAGATGGTAGTGGCCGTGGTGCGGCGCTGGTCGCCGCGGTGGCCTGTCGTCAACGGTTGGCGATGTCGTAAAACGCTTAATCCTAACTCCAGCGATCTCCACCGAACGTTAGTGGTCTCTAAGTAGACAAGCTACGGGTCTGTTGTCCAACTCTCCGCTTACTCATCTTCACTACATCGTTAAGTATTAAGCAACCCTGGTAGCTGCAACTATAGCGAGTACCTGTCGTTTTAATGTTGCCATAATATGGCATATTTTGCACAGTGCGCTGTTTTAGATGCTTTAATAGTTTGCTTTTAAGAATAAATTTATATATAAATCACCTCTGTCATCAAATTAAAAGTCCCAACTTCTTAAAATAATTGGGGTTGCTATTGTTTAAGTTTTTGTCTGTCTATTCGATTATTGTATTTAATACGGTGATCTCCGCTCTGAATTGTTTTAGTTAAAAAAAAGAACGTCGGTTCTTTGTAACAAGTTTATTGCGCTTTTAAAAAAAATTGATCTTTGAAAATAGAAAATTAAACTGGGGTAGGCACGTTCGGCAGACAGGACACTTTAATTAGGGAAAACGATTCTACCTTTAATTAGGTAGGTACTTAAATATGTTTATCTAGTCAAATATCAGATTTTATGAAACCGGCTACTTAATTTCTTGACTATCTATACCTCTTATTATTCTATTGAAAGACTGATTTGACATTTTAAGTGGTACAATATTCGTTAAAATATATTATAAAGTTATATCAGTCTATCTATAATAAATCACAAATGCATTTCGATAAACAGTGCCTATCTTAGAAAACTTGTACTCAATTAGTCCCCAGATTTTATTTAAGCAAATAATGTTATTTTAGCAATAAGTAGCTTAGTTATTTAACGGAGAGATAGCTTGTGTAGTTTTACGTAGTCATATTATGGCTACCTAATACCACAGAATAGGACATTCAAACCACACAGCCACTGTAAGCGACTGTGCGCAAAAAAAAAATAATTACATTTCTAAAGATGTAACGTTTAATTTTTTTAAAATTAAATGTATAGTTCAGAGATCTAATAAAAGTTAATAGGTATATAAAATAATTATGAGGCGTTCAATGTGAATTTTGACTTGATGAGTGTATTACACAGCTTTTAAAGTCTATATCGAATAGTGTGTGCGTGTGTACTTTAAGTTCACTCCACACTTTTAATGTCATTATTTTGATCATTCCATTTTACGATCATGTTTAATTTTGTAATATCTCAGCACCGAAAGAACATATTTATTTGAATATTAACGATGGATTAAGTACGAAACTCAAAACATTTGTGGATTTTTTTAAGGTATCTAAATTTTAAGAAAATTAAGATATTTAAGTGTTTTGATATTTTACTGTGATAGAAACTAGGACTATTTTGTAAACCGATGTTTTTCGTTGCCATTATTGTTTTCGCATATAACTTTGCACCTGTTATATTTTTTTATACTAGGTATTACTGAGCGAAATTACAAATGTGCAAGCAATAACGTGATCTTCTATCCGTATACTTTTTAAAACTATCACCACAGTTACTTGTTGTATATAAACTTGATATTATTTAATCATTCGAATAAATAAATCAATAATAAATTATGTGGATAGGTAGGTAAATATTAAATACCTAATCATTTATTCATTTATCTATATGCACAACCTACCTAAATATTATAACATCAAAACGAATTCATTATATTTAAATAGCAGCCAACATAGTTCCTAGATTATAATATAAATAGGGTGCATTTTACTTTAAGTGATTTTTATGAAATTTTTGTTGCATGCTCTTTTAGATTACGTGTACCTAAATATTATGCATTACGTATAGATTTAGATATTATCATTTAATATAAATATTTTTTATTTATTTCTGTGAATCATTTTATCAGTAAGTATGAATAAAATGTTACGAATCTGATGGTAAATGAAAAAAATGTGAGCAAGTGCAACTTATTTTGAGATTTGTGAAACCACATAATATGAAATAGCTGTCAGTATAAAAGAAAAATGTTTAGGTTTTTCTAAATGGATGATACGCTAATGGATAATTGCTTTTAAATTAAATATTGCTCAAGTTTCTTTTCCTGTCATTATGGTAAATTGTTTATATAATTTTCTATATTATAATACAATAAGAATACAAAAATACCAAATAATATAAATCGATTTAATCGCTATATAGTCTGACTTCTTTCAATGTTATGAGTAGGTAACATTAGCCTGTAATAACTATGGTCAGTAAATATGTGTTTTTTTAATGTCTACAGTATGGTTTTTGTATCGGATAACATATGTATTTGTTTCTGTTAAAAATGGAAAATGTTACATTCCATGCCTCTGTCACTAAAATATTTAACATTTCCATAAAATTACAATAATATCAATAATATAATTATTTTTATATACATAAACATTCAAGCCATATTGATCAAAAGGATCAGAAAGTTGACATATCATAAGATCAATAAACAAAAGTTTTCGGAAAATAAATCAAAGCGTGGAGCTTTGTTTTTATAACTGTTGCATATTCGTGAAAAGAATGGTATTGTATTTTTTTTTTAAAGAAATGTGATTGTAATGAATTGCTACCTACCAATATTCTTTGTAGATAGTTATTATTTTTATGGAAATTCATGTTGAGTTGTAACAAATTAGGAAAAGTTTGTAGCTAGCTCCCTCTGTGTATGAGCTGATAGCAATGTTACTTATTTAAAATAAATTTATATGAATAATTACCTACTTAATTTTTTTTATCCTCAACTACCCATTTTGAAATATCAAAAACTAATAGCGGTGTAGACAACTTTTTTATATTTTTATTTATAGATATATATGAAATATATCTAAAAAAAATATTTAAATAATGTCATTCAAATTTAGTTTTCAAAATTTTCCGTGATAGCGACGCTATGACGTCACGCACTCTGAAACGAATATCGTTCTTTGTATGCATAAGGTTGAATTCTCTAAGTTCTGGTATAATTTTTTACTTGACATTGGTAAAATGCACAAGCCTTGCCTGCCATATTATGAAAAGAAAAAAAAAGTTCTGGTACGAGTAAGAAGGAATGTGATGACAAGAAGCATTATAGTAGTTTATGCAACTGTAATATAAGAAGGGGTATTAAAACACGAAAGTCTGAGATAATAGGTTGACTCGAGTGTTTTAATACCTAAGTTATGCAGTTTCATACACAACTTTATCATCAGTATCATCACTCATAGGTAAAATTTTAAATTAAACAAAGCAGGTAGGTTACAAGAAAGTATTTTTTTTTGGAATCCCGAATACAAAAACACGATCGACGAAAAATGTATAAGAAGCGCGGGAAATTTTATTCAGCCTAAAACCATAGACTAGTTTCATGAATAAAAAAAGATAGCGGTACTATACTATAATGAGTTTTATTTTTATGTTTATAAAGTGCGTATTTATAGAATCGTCTTAGAATTCGTAATTCGAATTTTTCGATTTGAATGTAGATAAAATATTTTTTTTATATTATTTAATCAATATTGTAAACATTAAAGTGTGATTTTCGGTAAAAGTATAATAAGCACTACCAGAAAAAAAATATATATATGCATTTATTTTCATTTACTGTCTACACCCGTATTGAAGGCCTTGTCCCGCAATAGGCATTAACCTGCTAATAAGATGAAGAGATAATAATTTTATACTGTATTACTAAAACATAAATATTTAATCATAATATAAAATTTACACACGGCTGCACGGCAGATTACCACAATATCTCAAAATTCTCCAGTCGATTTTAAACTTTACCCCCAAAACATTATAGTTTAAAATGAAGAAAAGAAATCTGATAAATTTGTATAACTTAATGAGCACTGTACAATGAGTTTAATAACTAGAGAAGCAATCCCATACAACAGACGCGCCAAAAAGCGTAGCACTTTTCTGAAATCAGGACGTAGCTTTGCAAATAATATTTATACTATATAATATATATAGATTTATTATATTTGTCTCCCTCATATCTACGATTAAACTTTAAATTAAACAAAGACAGAATATGTGCGAACGACAGAATGAACGGAAAAATGGGTAATTGATAATGTATTGCCAGCTGTCGAAAATTTCACCCTTTGTGATGAATGAATGAATGAACGAGTAGTGTAGATATATGTATAAAATCAATTAGTAAAATACTGTTACCTTGAAAATTTCTTTGAAAAAAAAAAAAACAATCACGAAAGTAGGTTCTGTGCATATATATCCCTTTATTTTTCGATAAAGTCAGTGGTTAAGACAAAAACATTTGTCAAAGTTCATAAAACATCAAACAAAGGTTCAATTTTACGTATTTTCAAAAGTTGTATCTCGACAACTAACGAATTCCACGCATTGAAAAAATTAAACCACCTTAGCGTCTGTGTGTTTGTATAAAAATATTATCAACAGAATTAGCGCAGTTGCCTATACTTAAGCTGAGCTATATAATTAGTTATAAAAAGATATTTAGATAAATTATAGCCACGTAAAATAAAAAGGCTCCCATATACTTGGGAAAATTGAAAGTGAATAGCAGTGGCAACACTGACGACAAAATTTCGAAATTTAATTTGTGAAAATAAAATATTTTTATTTTATAACTTAGCTTTAATTTTGTATTTATTGCCAAAAATGTTAGTGACTTAAGTGTGAAACTTAATATTCTTTCGTATTATGTGTATTTGTGAAAGAGAATCGAATTTTATCTACTCTTTTTCTTTGTTTTTGCGGAGCATTTTTTTTGTACTTTCTTGGCGGGAGTTGAATGAGTAATGAAGTGAAAAACGAAAAAACTAAGACAAACGTCTTAGTTTTAGTAGCTTCAGATTTTTGGTATGAATTGCGTATCTAGACATATTAATATCATTGGCACTGTATAGTTCAGTATTAGGGCATTTTTCAAATCTTTTGACCATTGCCATAACATAATGTCCACTGACTTAACAATTATATTATTTAAAATTTATTAATGAAAACATCATGCTTAAAGCGGCAATCGATAGAAAATTTCAACAAAAGTAAATTAAAACAGATTTTTCTTTTAAATATAATCTTAATTTGAAAAAATAAATAAAAATGTAACTACATTGACACCAATTTTACGATGTCCCATGCATACCTTCAAACTTTGAAGTGTCATAATCCCGAAATATTCTCATTATACTCATACTAAAATCACTTGGTTTGTGGTAAAACAATATGAAATTACGTTTTTTAATGTCTTTTAATTGGTTGTTATATCAAAATCAGTAAATAAATCAAATTTTATTTTGTCCTAAAATTTTGGATATACCGGAATTCCCAGTTAATAACTACGATTTTCGTTGACTTTAAAATAATACCAAGTATTCAGATATTTTTTTTTGTGACAATCATTTTCTGACAGCTTAACTTCTATTGGCCGTTTCTTTTCCAGCCTAGCTATGTTTGGATAAATAGCGTTACTTAGTCTTCAGATCAGTGTGTCGTCAATCACGTGTTCCAATTAGTATAGTGATTTTGAATGATAGATTATTATTGTTTCAACACGAGCGTTGCTTAAACTTTTGCAGTAAGTATCTAAAATTAACTAAAGTTCATAAGAATCATTACTTTTTGTGTATTTTTTATAAAATGTGTGATGTAAAGTCATAAAATGTACTTTCGTAACGTCAGATGAGTAACGTTATATATAGCCGGAATGGATTTTGTTACTAACTGGAATTATAAGGCCGAGTATTCAGTAAACTTAAAATAAAAATTAAGTATTTCCTAGAATTACTTTTTGACTACTTGTGCTAAAAATAGGTAAGGTAACTATATAGGTACTTACGAGAAATATTCAAGCTGAAACCTCTTTTTACCGACTTCAAAAAAGGAGGAGGTACTATGTTCGGATGTTTTTTGTGTATGTTCACCGATTTCTCTACCAATAAAATTGTGGATCAAAAATTATTTTTCATATACTTTCTAACGCAATTCAGATATATGTCTCTTATAGTCATCATCTAATGGAGCTGAGCTGATGATGGAAGTAAGAGCACCTGAAAGTTTCTATAAAGTTATCTTAAAAATGAGTGGTCCGATTTAGATGGGGTTTTCACTGGTCAATTTCTTGTGACATTTTATAGATTTGTGCATTCGAAAATAAATTTTGGGTTGCATTGCATTCCGGGTCTTCGACATAACAAACGCAGATAAGCAAGAAATGCATTTTTACAGAGTTGAAAATGGTAGTATTTCTGGACATTGACAAGTTCTTGACTCGCAAAGATTTCAGTCTACTCAAAAGAACTAAGTGGCCATGGAAAAGAACACACTTCATATTAGCAACAAAATGCCATAACTGCAAAACCTATACTGACACGAACCTCGGAATACCGACTCATTTTGTTATTTTTAGTGACAGACAAATAATTCGTCTTTTAAATCGTAAATTCTTCTGGTGCCAAACCTGTTTATTATTTACCATTTATGACCATTTTCTTGACGACGATTGTGAATATTCTTACGAGTAACAAAGCTACCTATATTACCTACCTGAACGAGCTAAAGGAGAAAAGCTAAAGGATGATCATGAAAAATATAAACAGAAACAAAGAGAAATTGTTGGAAAACAAAGAAAAAAAATTGCTAATTTAGATGATGACGGGAAAATTAAGCAAAAGGAACAGTGGAGAGGACAGAATCAAATAATCAAGAAACTATAGCAAAAACAAAATTAAGAAGAGCTGTAAACTAAATAAAAAGTTGCAAAGGGTAAATTCTAATTACAATAAGGCACAGAAAATAAATAAATAAATCTATAATATTAGTAGTTATTTATCTCATCATGACAAAATAACACACTGTCAGTAGTTTTCTCAACATGTAAGTGACAACATGACGGTTATTTTTAACTTTAAGTAGAGTTATAGTTTAAAATGTGAGACATAATTTAGCCTAAACATTACGGCGTACAAAGTTAAAAGACTGACTAGGGCCAATTATATTTAGATTTTATTCATGTTAATTAGCATTTAAGTGACGTTGAATACTACAGTCTATTTTGAGGAGTAAAATATTTTACATAATCAATGTTGACGTGTCTTTTAAAATAAAGTGCAATAATAAAAATATGAAACACTTAATTTTGAAAGTAGCTCCATAATGTTTTCATATTATGAAACGGATAATGTATGTAAAAATACATCTTTTTTTATTTTTATATGCATTTCTTAAATATATGAATTTCTTAGATACATAATATGAAGATTGTTTACTAAAAATCTTTTGCTTCGCTGAATGGAGTGTAGGTCATTTTCAACAAGTCCGTTATTTTTCAATTTCGGTGGCGCAATATTTTCTTTTATTTTTATTATGATTGTTAATTTTGTTCATAATAAGTACTTAAACAAAATAACAAAATAAAATTGCGCCATCGATATTGAAAAAAAACTGGACTTGCAAAAAATTACCATTGATAGCTGTGATTACTGTGATTTGAATTTTTATAATCAGTCTTTATAAAAATTTTAGAAGTAGTTAATAAAAAGTGAGTATTGTGAACTCAACTTTATGATCCTGTTAGTAACTAAGAATTCCAATTAGTAACTTGTTAAAGTGAGACTTAGTTTAAAAAAAGTTATTTTGTTTAATAATTTTATTAGAAGATGATTAATGTTACAACTAAATATTGTTTATTTTAATATGTTTTACCGGACTATCTAAGAGATTAAGTGTTATACCTTGTGTCTTTTTCAAAACATAATATAATTTGAGGAGATTATGAAACAAATGTTACTAATCGGAAGTATTTTCATTAATAATTTGTGAAAATATGCTGAAAATTGTTTTTGTTTGCTAATATAATGAATGTAACCGATTTAAATAATAAGAAAATAAAATAAAATAATACGGAATACCCTGGCTTTTATTTAAAAAAAAATTATTTAAAGTGTTACTAATTGGAACTTCTTGTGCCCTGAGTGCCCTATACAAATTATTTTTTTGGCTTAACTGCTTGTTCAATTATAAAACAATTGGTATTTTTAAAAAGCTCATTTAATATGCTATCCAAAAAATGAAAAAAATTACAAAATCATTTCTAAAAAAAAAATGCATTCCGGTTCCGTAACGGTCAGCTTTTTTGAAAAACGCCCATTATTCAATAGCAAAGTATATAAAATGAAATTGTTCTCCTAGAAGTTGGTTACATAAAATTAGTAAAAAGAATATGTATATTAAAAATAATAATAATCAAATTTTGTCAAGTTGTTTAATACATTTAATTAAAGATTACTTGTGGACTTATATCTTAAATTATGAGAATCAATAAATCACAATAAAAACAAAACTATACTTTGTTAAAATATGACAACATCTAATGACCGGTTTCCAAATTGAGAAAAGCACAGAATCTCAACTGATTATTCTCAATAACTTGAGTTTTTAACGTTTCATATGGCAAAAAGTCCTAGTCAAATTAAATTGCTATGAAGTGATCATTAAAAAAATTATAAATCAGTAATGACAAACAGTTTAATTGCCGTTTAAAATGGCTTAAGCATGGTTTAAGATGTGCTCAACTTCAAATTCTGAATTCAGAAAACGGTTGTAAATATTATAGACTTCAGTGCAAATCTGATAGTCTGTCAATCATCTCATGGACGTTTGCATTGATACGTGACAATTTTCATAGTGTGCAAATGCAACTGACATAATTTGTCAGTTTTGACATTTAATAACCGAAAAGACACAACACATCTTCTTTCAGATGTGCACCAACTCTAGATCAATGTACATACACTAATGCACATTTATTTGAGAATTATCTTAACTTTTTTCTGAACAGTAACTTTTTCTAAATTATTTTGAAATATTCAGTAATGATTATTGGTTTACACATCTTTTTCAAAAAGTTGGTGTATGGTCACAAGAGCTGATATTATTTCTAAATGTGTATTGGTTTTGTCAAAGAATACAGACTAATTTCATGCAAAAATAGTGACAGAGCATCATTCTTAGAGATCACAGAGGAACCTTCAATATTTATCGAACCTGATAGTTTTGACATTGATATAATCCCTATATAAATAATTTTAACACTTTAAGATAATTATAACAGTGTATGTATTTTTAAACACGACAAGCACATTCAGGAGTCATTCGAGCCGGTTTCTTTGGTGCACTCAACCTTTTAGATGTACCAGTGCCATATTGAATGCCAGAGCCTATCCTCTCTGGGTCCAATTCTCCAGTTTCTATTTTTGCAAGAATGGTTTTAGAGCATTTTAAAAATGCTTCTTCAACATTCTCCCCTGTTTTAGCACTGGTTTCAAGAAACATTAACTCTGTAAAACAAATAACAAACCACTAATTAGTATTTAGGTAATTGATCATAAACACCAAAATTAAATAAACTAGATTTTGTAAATAAATAATTCTTACCATTTTCTTGTGCAAACTGACTAGCCTCAGTAAATGTCACTTCTCGGGACTCCTCCATATCTTTTTTATTCCCGACAAGTAAAATTATTATATTAGGACTGGCTAGTGTTCTCGCATCCCTAAGCCAATTTGAGAGAGTGTTGAAAGAGTCACGGGAGGTAATATCATATACAAGAAGCGCACCAGCAGCACCTCTGTAATATGATCGAGTGACAGAGCGAAACCTCTCCTGACCAGCTGTATCCCATATTTGTAATTTTGTCGATTTGCCACCGATATTGACAATTTTAGAACCAAATTCAACACCAATTGTGTGGCATCTGTCTTCCTTGACTAGAAATTTTATAAAACATTATTAATGCACAAATGATACAAATGTTAAAAAAGCTACAGTTGACTTGGATACTTCATTTTTATTAATTAGTTATTAACACAATTTTGAAAAGTTTAAAAAGCTAAAGATCACTTACATTTGTTACCAATAAAATTGTTAAGAAGACTCGATTTCCCAGTACCAGCACTACCAATCACAAGAAATTTGAACAGATATTCTGTAACAAGAATTAGCATTGCATTGAATACAGTGAAACAAAAAAACACAGAATTTTAAACAAAAACAAGAAAGATAATTTACCATATGATTCAGACATGTTTTATCACAAGAGATATATAAATAAGTTTAACATAGCAATCAAAATAATTTCTACACTCGTGTACAAATTTATTTCACGTTATTAGGCAGATTCAACATTAAATTCCATTTCTAAATTCCTGAGAACTACAACTCTGTAGACGGGAAATGCAAAACACGGAAAAATCCTAAATAATTTAGAAAAAAATGCTATTTTCATTTAATTAGGGATGTGACAATTATCAATTTTTAAATTTAGAGTTAATCGAGAACAAAACAATCGATTCGAATTAATCGTAAATTAATTCTCTCTTTGTAACAATAAAAATGGTTACGGGTGCTGTTTTTCACATTTACCGTGATCGTAAAATAAATATGTCACTAAAATATTTCGATTTAAATTAAACTATAATAAGACTTACTCATCTTTGCGTGTGGTGGTATGTGTCGGTAATCTTTAGTGGTTTAATGTGCGTAAACAAGCTGAAAGTAAAAAAGAATAATTTTGACGAGCTGTTACTATTGCAAATTACTGTAGATTATTTTGTTTGTTAATGCAAAAAAGATATAAGAACACGTATACCTCGGACGACAACTGAAGCAGCACAGTCATTACAAGCTCTTGCAAACATAGCGCTGAGAGCACAACTGACTCGAACTATCTATATGTAAAGGTACTTCAACAAAAATTAAAATTATTTCTGTTTAATCATTTATTTGCAAAATAAGCAAAGAAACCAAACAATAAATCAAAAAATCAATTTCTCACGTTAACAGATTAATTAACAATCATTTCAATTAACTCGTGATTTATTTATGTGTCTCTCAAGATTTATAGTTTCACCCAAAGCATCCTTGAGAAAAGTCGTTACAAGTATTACATGTCATTATTTATAATATTAATAACACTCATATTATATTACATTAAGTTCATAACATTCATATTATATTACATTAAATCAGGGTTTGCAAATATCCGATATTTATAATAAATATCAAAATATCCAATATTTCATATTTATCCGATATATATCATGCATACGAAAAGCTGCGATATTTAAGCTGCCAGTGGCTTCATTTAATATTTGATATTATAAATCAAAAGTTATTTTTTAATTTTTATTATTAATATATATCTGCAATCAGCCTTTAAGCTTTAATCAGATGCGCTGACATCTATCATTATTATTAGAGTTTGGCACTTCCAGTGATGCACCTTCCCCTCATTCACAAACTGATATGCCACATGGTCCATTAGATCATGGCTAGTGGCATTCTTTTTAGGCGTGTTACATTATCATTGGTATTAAGCAGTGCCGTAGCTAACTGGTTTCATGAACTTCAAGTCGTTTAATGTAAGTCTCGCAACATTTCTTAATATCGTCCTTGATGTATGGCATCTGCAGATATTCGTGGACTTCAGCATTCTTTGTAAACCAAGGTGCCTTACACAAGATCTTGAGGGCAGCATTTTGGAATCGTTGAAGTATTTCCACATTGGAGTGGCTAGCTGAACTCCAGAACTCTATTCCGTATGTCAAAATAGGTTTGATATGGATTTGTAGATTAGAATTTTATTTTCCAAGCTCAGTACTGATTCCCTTCCGATCAACCAGTGCATTTCCTTCTAATGTGATGTGTCTCCATACTTCCTTAGGTTTGACCAATTTAAGAGGGGTAGACGTCCGCTGTTCGCTATTAATATCTTCATCGTCATCATTTTCTAGTGGTATGTGGCAGGGTTCATTAGGTTGAAACACTTCTTCCGTATGATTGGCAAATAATTCAGCTTTTTCTATACAATTTCTAGCCAAACCACCGTTTTGTTTTTTTAAAGGTGGTACATGTTTCTTTGGTCTTTTATACATGCTGGTCATCTTCCACAGAGAGCAGTCTTCTGATTTATGCGGTGAAAGTGTTTTAAGTTGTTCTTGCAGAGTTTTATCACTATGTTCTTTGAGCATTCTCTTCAATTCCTTCTGAATTCTATTGAGAGAGCGTTTATCATGGCTATTTCGGCTGGTATGCCACTGTCGTCTTAATTTTCTCTTCTCTGAAATCTTGTTCTTAATTTCTAGAGCATAGTTTTTCTCGAATGAAGTCGTTTCCTTATAAGGTGTTGACAGCCAGGCAGCAGACTGTACCAAATTTGTTAGATTATAAGTGGCATTTTCGACTTCTTCTTCAGTTTTAACAGAAATTTGTAGGTTAGCGTTCTCATTTATATAAGCTCGGAAGGCGTCCCAATCAGTATGCCTATTGTAAAGAGCTTCTTGCGGTTCTTTGTAGATTACGGTGGTACTTAAAGTACATATGGCAGGTGTGTGGTCAGAAGAGCCATCCAAGCAGGATTCTACTTTTGTATATATTTGGGACACTCCACTGGCCACAAAAAAGTCCAAGAGGTCTGGCAGCTTATTCGGATCCGTTGGCCAATATGTTGGTTCCCCAGTCGATAACACCTTCAGCGCTTTTTTCTCTACAGCTTTTTTTAGCACCCGTCCTCTGGTGGTCGTCAATCGTGATCCCCAAAAGGTATTTTTTGCGTTCCAATCACCACCAACAATAAATCTATTGCCGAGAGTTTCAAAAAAGTCTTCAAACATCTTTTCATTAATACGATGTTTAGGTGGACAGTAAACAGCAGCTATGTTTAACATCCCCTGCCATTGGTCTATGGACAGAACCGCAGCTTGTAAGTAAGCATGTTTGTACTTTGGAAGGACATGTTGTTTGATATTGTCTCTCACTACAATAGCAGCTCCAGCGTGCGACGTACCATCAGGGTGATTGCAATAGTATATATTACAACCCTTTATTTTCACTATTCTGGTATCTATCATGTGGGACTCTGAGATTAGTAGAATATCTATTTTATTGAGGTGGATGAATAGCTCAACTTCATGCGTGTTCGGAGCCAAGTCATTTATATTCCATGTTGCGATTCTCAAGGAATTCATTTTTCATATTTGACTATGATGGTTGTTAGAAGCCCCATTAGAGTACCTATTTGTTGAATAAGCATATCTATTTTTTCGGACTGTTTGAATATAATTTCCTCTAATCTATTTGATGACTGAGATTTTATCTCTGGTTTCTTTACCCATTGACTCACACTCATAGGGTTTGTTATGTGTGATTCTCTTATATCTTCATTTGTCGACTTTTGTCTAGCATACTGAAAATCTTCTATGTATGGTGGTATGGGGTCTTTTTAGATTTTTCTTTGTTATACAATGATTTTCTGGTGCCTGCTTGTGTTATTTTTCTAGTTCGAATTTCTTTGTATACCTTGCAACCCTTATAGTTAGCCGGATGATTTCCAAGACAAAGTGCGCACGTAGCTGGACTGTTTCTGTCCTTTTTTGGGCAGTCTATGGTTCGATGTGCTTTCGCACACTTAACACATCTAAATGGGCGCATACAATTGTTTTTTGTGTGTCCATATTGTTGACACCTTGCACATTGGGGTATATCATTAGTTTTCCTTGGGTCCTTAATTTTTACTTTGGTGTGGTATATACATTCTATTGCTTTTGCCTTAACGTTGTTTGAATTGTGCTCTAAGTTTACAAAGAACATATTTAGTGGCAGTTTGTTTTTGCGCGATATTGCACATATGATTTCTTCTCTGACTTTATTTCCAGATCTTTCAATTTCATTTCTTATGGCTTCTACTGGCGTTGTGTGGTGAAGGTTTTTGATCACAATTCTATAAGATTTACACAGATGATATCAATGACTTTTTTGTAAATATCTGTATGTTTTGTTGTTACTCTTAGCTGATTTCTATTGATGATCTTATAGGAATAGCTGTCATCAGGTACAGACTTATTCAACAATTCAGTCAATTTCGACATATCTTCCACACCATACAGCATTATTGGTGGTGGCTTTCTAACTTTTTCAACATTTTCCTCTATTGTTTCTTCTGTCAGATCTATTGGCAGTCCGCTAAATCTATTATTTGTATTAATCTGAGTTGCTGTTTTATTATTAGTAGAGCTACTTGATATTTTTTTTCTTTTTGGGTTACGTTCCATTGGTACTCTTTGCCATGGGTTGTTATTTGTTTCCATGTCATTTGTAGATTCAGCTGTAAGCATAGGACAGTTACTTTCATTTAAAGGGGTACTGCGTAAAGAATCACTCCCAAGAGATGAAGATCTTGTTCGTGTAAATAGGCCAGGATGGAAACCCTGTTGGACAAGTTTCTTTGTAAATCCAGTAGTATTTACCACAGCGGGGGCCTGGTTTCCCACACCCGTGCAGTCTTCGGTAGCCAATTTCACACTTGCGGGCCCGGGTACCTGCAAACGCCGGGGGTTAGCCGGATCGCATGATATATCAATCTCAGTATCACTCATATTCATTATATATTAAGGATGGGAATATACTCTAGACACTTTCCCAAGGTGTCAAGGTCACGCTTATTGGTGGAATTTAGTCCATCAGGGCTTGTGCTAGCCGTGAGTAAACAGGTTATTTGACCGTCGCCTGAGGCTCGGCGTTTTTACTTGTTTAGCACCACCCAGGGGATGTAGTGTAGTAAGTACATATCTATATTCACTGCATATAATCATAGTATATAAGCGTATGTTAGAAACCAATAAACTTCACTTGTTATATCGCAGTTGTTGTTTAATTAAGTCTCCCTAAACGGTGCCGCATCACATGGCGACCCTGCCAGGTTGCGATCGGATTCGCGCTGCATTCCGATCGCCTTATTAGGATCATCGGACAGTCGCTAATTATTATCGAACGAGCCACCTCGAGTGTTTGCATATTTTCACCAAATTGTAAATCTTATCACCACTCATCAGCATGGGAAAACAACAGTCAAAAGACGAGACTGTGATTGTGGCGCAGGCTGCTAGTGGCGGAGATAATACGTCCACATTGGAGCATCTCTCGGACCACGCCAGCATCATTGTCCAGATTTTGGGTATAATTGGCGTAATTTTATTGCTGGGGTTACTTTTCCTTGCATATCGGAAATACGGCAAATGCCATCGGAGGATGATAGAGAGAGGAATCCAGGAGCATAATTTGCAGAGGACGAGCAACTGGTTTCGGCACCAGAGAGGACAAGGAGGAGACCAGGGTGACCACGGTGAGAGAGCAGGAATGAAAATCGGAGTGTGACGTGATCAGTGAGTGCTATATGTGTGGTAAAGTGCGTATAATCGTCGTAAATCGTAAGCAAACATATTTACCTTAATTATATTATAGAGGACATTAAGTTAGCATCATATTATATTATTGGAAGTAATCGCATTAATTGATAGTTTATGGCAAAAGATACAGAAAAATATTTTATTGAATTACTTAATATAAGGACATATTTAATTAAGATTGGCCCGCAGCGGCATCAAACCGGAACTATATGTATCAAAAAATTCGAGGAAGCAAATAATGTATTAGATAGTTTTGAAAAATGGTTTTGTAGCATTAAAGATAAAGTTGAGAGATTGAGTCAATCTGAATTAATCTCTATTAATAAATATAGTGACCATATTAAGAAATTATACAAAGAGATAAAATTATTGTGTAATATTACCGTAGAAAACAAGAACATGGAAGACTTTAACTTGAAAACAGCTGTTTCCTTATTGCCAATTATGGATGACAGAGAAAATACTACTAAAAATCTCATTTCGTCTATCGAAATGTATAGCTCATTATTAGATGAAAAATCAAGGGTAATGCTCATTAATTTTGTGCTAAAAACGAGATTATCGGAGGGTGCTAGGCTCAGGCTAAACCAGAAGTATGACTCAGTTGAGCATTTAATTAAAGACATGAGGGATCATCTACTAACTAAAAAGTCTTTTACAGCATTACAACATCAATTGTTAAGGTGTACTCAAAATCAGCGGGACATCGAAGACTATGGTAAGCAAATTGAACAATTATTTGTTGAATTAACCATCTCGCAGGCTGACGGTGATACAAAAAAATATGAAATTTTAAAGCCGATCAACGAGAAAATGGCAATTAAGCAATTTACCACCGGTTTGCGAAATGGTAACCTTAGCACAATTATTTCGGCTAGAAATTATGAAAACTTAAAAGACGCAATTAGGGGAGCAAAAGACGAACAGACATCCATGACTCCAGTTGATAATATAATGAATATAACAAACAGGCAAGACAACAATTCGTTTTACTCAACACGCGGACGATTTTTTCAGGGACGCGGACGAGCTAACTTTAATAACAGCAAAGGTACGCGGTGGCAGAGCACCAGCGGTGATCGTGGTCACCCTAACCGTGAGACATCGCGAGGTACCTACCAATATCGCGTCAGAGGTAACAGGAGGTTGCAAGGTCAGTACTTTTATTCTAATCGCGGCCGTAGTAATCAGTACCAGAACTCTCGAGTAAATTACATGAGTGGGGAATCGCAGGAAATCACCGAAACCCAAGGCGAAAACGAAAATGCTGAACCGTCTCAGTTTTTTCGTGAACAATGAAAAAAGCCAACATATTTGCCACTACAACAAACATAAAAACTCTATTAATTTATCAGTTAGCAACAATACGTTTAATTTATTGATTGACACGGGAGCTTCAATTAGTGCGTTGAAATATGAGAAGTTGGCGGATAGTAAAGTTCCATTCCAAATTGGGCAAGTAAGAATAAACGGAGTGTGTGGTGAACTTTGCTCGGTTGGATTTGACGATTTAGTCTGTTTTGGAAGAAATTTAGAAAGCCATAATTAAAATCTTATAGATATTTTTTATATATTACGAGAAACAAATTTAAAATTAAACCCTAGGAAGTGCCAATTTTTAAAAAAAGAACTGTTGTATTTGGGACACATTGTAAGTTCCGACGGATTGAAACCAGACCCAGAAAAAACTAGAGTTATTAATAATTATCCAACACCAAAATCAAGCGATGACGTAAAAAGATTCGTTGCTTTTTCAAACTATTATCGGCGATTTATTCCTAAATTTGCAGAAATTGTTGTACCGTTAAATAATTTACTAAAGAAAAATGTAGATTTTATTTGGACAGATAACTGTGACTAGTCATTTAAAAAATTAAAAACATGTTTAGTATCGCCGTCTATTTTACAATATCCAGATTTTTCGGATACCAATCAGTTTCAGTTATATACAGATGCTTCAGGTATAGCCATAGTTTCAGTTTTATGTAATGGGGACGGCCGCCCTGTTGCTTACGCGAGCCGTGGCTTAAATAAAGCAGAATTAAACTATCCCACTATTGAGAAAGAAATGTTAGCAGTAGTTTGGTCGATAAAATACTTCCGTCCTTATTTATTCGGCAAAACTTTTAGGATATTTACAGATCATAGACCGTTAGTTTATTTATTCAACATGAACAATCCCTCCAGTCGACTAACAAAGTTCAGATTAATTTTGGAAGAATACGATTTTGCAATAGAGTATATAAAAGGAAAGGATAATGTAACTGCAGATGCATTATCCCGGATATTAATTACATCAACAGAATTGAAAGAGATGAATGACAGAGTGATAAATGTAATGACTAGGAACCAAAGAAAAAATATGGAAACTCAACAACGAATTAATCCTAAATCGGACGTAAACACCTCCACTAACCACGTGCCTGATCAGCCAAAAGTAGTGGACATGTTGAAAAGGCCGAGAAACTCAATAGAGTTACAACTTATATCGGATAGGAAAATGAGTAGTAGGAAACGCGACGTAAACAGCTCGGAATCATTAATATTTGACGAAAAGAATATGACTTTATATACTAGCCTAGACTTACGATCATGTACTGCGCGAGACGCGTATGTGGGGGAGCTAGAGCAATATTGTAAAAACATAAATATTAAAGAGATCTATATAATTAAACTTGCAAGTAATAAAGAATTTATAAAATGGTTAACCAATGAAGTAAAGAATAAAAAAGAATGGTCCGGACCACGAATTCATATTTTAAGAGGTATTCGGAGAATAACCTCAAATGACGACAAAAAGGTAATTATGAATGATTACCATATTTTACCAACAAGTGGACACGCCGGAATAAGGCGGATGGTAAACAATATCAAGTTAGCCTATTTCTGGCCAGGGTTAGAACGTGACATAACAAATTTCGTCACCAAATGTAAAAAATGTCAAATGCAAAAGCATTCGGCACGTGTCAAACAGCCCATGGTCATAACATCTACGGCCATGAGTTCATTTGACAAAATATTTTTAGATATAGTTGGGCCCTTAGATAAGGATTATTATGGTAAAGTTTATATTTTAACAATACAGTGCGAACTCACTAAGTTCGTCGAAGCTTATGCACTGGAGCGTAAGGACGCAATTTCTGTGGCAAAATCATTTGTCGAAAATTTTGTATTGAGGTATGGTATACCGCGAGAAATTGCATCGGATAAGGGAACAGAGTTTTTGCGGAGGATAGCATCAACAATGAAAGAGGTATGTAAACTACTCCAAGTAAAACAATTATTTTCCACTTCTTATCATCATGAATCAATTGGCGCATTAGAAAATACACATAGAAATCTAAACGCTTATCTTCGCATACAGACTAATAATAATTCTAGGGAATGGAGTACATGGATTCCATATTGGTGTTTTGGGTACAACACAACTATTCATACTTCTACTAAGTTTACACCTTTCGAACTGGTTTTTGGTAAAGCATGTGTGTTACCCAGCAATTTAACTAATTCTGTAGAACCACTTTACAATAGTGACGATTATCCATTAACCTTAAAATACAGATTACAAAAATCCCAAGAACAAGCTAGGCAAAATTTAATATTGTCAAAGGAAAACAGAAAATTAAATTACGATAAAAATGTACAACCAATTATATATAAAACGAATGACTTAATATTGTTAAAAACGGAAATCAAAGATAAGTTTGTAAATGTTTATAATGGACCTTATGTTGTTTTAGAGGATATATCACCAAATGTTCGTATAATAAAAAATAATAAAATAGAAACTGTTCACAAAAATAGAACAAAACCATTTGTTAACTAAAAAAGAAATGTAATTATTATAATAAATAGGTAATAAATATTTCATTGCAATTCTTATAATCTTACTATGTATTCTTTGAAATAAAAAATAAATGTACTATTTTTTATTTTATTTTTTAGGAAAGGAGGTGTAGTGTAGTAAGTACATATCTATATTCACTGCATATAATCATAGTATATAAGCGTATGTTAGAAACCAATAAACTTCACTTGTTATATCGCAGTTGTTGTTTAATTAAGTCTCCCTAAACGGTGCCGCATCACAGGGACACGTGTAGGGTGTTTCTAAAACTAGATGGAGAATCCTACAGACGCAAGCAACATCATCCCCCCCATAAATCAAAAGTGTGAAATAAAAATTAAGTTTGGTTTATTTAATATTTGTTTATTTATTATGAAATAATTAAAAAGTAGTATGCGAGCGAGAATTTCCAGTATAAGGGAAAACCCGATATTACTAGTAAATAAGATTATTACTTCGGGCCAATGTTGCTAGCGTCACATTGGCTTGGTTAATTTTCTAGCTGAGACTGAATACTCAATACTCAAATGAACAATAAATATCAATTGATATATATCGATGTATATATCAAGATATATATCCGTCGATATTTACTATTAATCCTGCATTAAATTTATAACATTCATATGACATTACATTAAATAATATTAGGTCCGTATATATTAGATTGGCGTTTTGTCGTACTGGCCACTTTAATCACAAATTTCTCCACCTTAGTTGGGAATTCCGAATACAAATTTATACAGCCATTTACACATGTATTTATGTTTCGTTAGGCCGCATTCATTTGTTTTTTCTTTTCTTCTGTTTGTCCTATTTACGTCAACCAGTATAAAAAATGGAAAACTTGAAATATCGTGTTATTTACGCGGAAACGGCTCGAAGGGTTAACGATGTGTATGGCGGTTGTGCCGCAAAAGAAAACACTGCGTTTTTAGTTCCAACGTTTTCGTTCTGGAAATTTTGACCTGCAGAACAAGCCACTGTTTTAATCCACTTGAAGCAAATTAGAAAGATTAAAAAGCTTGAAAGGTGGGTACCTCACGAGTTGGTCCCGGCTGCATTTGCAGTCGTTAATACCCTCCAATCCGCATTGGGCCAGCGTGGAGGGTCATGGCCCATCCTCCTTAACCATCCATAAGGAAGGCCTGAGCCCCTGCAGTGAGGACGTAAAAGGGCTGGTGAACCGGCAAACGCGCTTCGACTGCTGCGACTGCGCTTACATTACTTAACCGGCACAGTAATTAAGGGTTTTTAAATCGAATCATTATTATGTGCCATAGATTATACATTATATTAACAACATTCACATAAAATTAAAGCGTACTGACGAAAAAAGACGATGTTTTGGCACAGGTAATGCACCATCATCAGCTATATCTATGAAACGTTTTAAATTGCCTATATTTTTTTTATTTCCACACTAGATATGACTGGAATGCTCAAATTAATTAGTGATTGAAGTAAATAAGATGATTAATAAGATATGTAAATAACGGAAAAACAATTGAATGATTTTTTGGGCAATTTTTTCGTTCAAATAAAAATAAAAGAAAATATCGTATTTGTTGCAATTTCGATATGAGGAAGTATTTAAAAAAAAACTCCAAAAAATTATGTCACTAGGTGGCAGCACAAATAATAGGATCTAAACGTCAATTCATTACATTAAACCAAAAAGAGTAGAATTATCAGTGTTGTTGTGGATCTGACAATTCAGATTAATATCGAGTTGAAATTCAATTAATTCGAGTTACGCAAACGCAACTCGATTAATACAAACGAATATATTAATAATTGTTTTTTTTATTTGTATACAGGAAAATGAAAACTAACATAATGGAAGTGAGCACAAAGGTTTTTTAAAGGTTATAAAAATCAATCGAATTAATGCTGTGAAATTATTAAAAGTGGCATTTAGCTATACAATAATATTACCGTGAAATATTTTTTTTTAATAAAATACTTACGCCATAGTAGGTCTAGGAATTTTTCATTATATTATTTAACAAAAGCTCTGAAAACTATAACAACTAGGTAAGTTAGTTTTGTTGCTATTAGTTGAACTTACAATAATAAAGCTACATCAAGTCTCAATAATATTTTTATATTATGAGTAGTAAATGAATAACAAGGTTTATTAATCAGCAACAAAGTTCATAAAAACGAAAATTATAATAAAAATCTGTTTGTTATCTATATACTTACCTGATATGTATAATTAGGTATTCGTACAAAATACTAGAATAATACAAATACTTCTGGCTAGAATGACGTTTATGCAAAATATAACGTGCAAATAAGTTGTCCTTTCGAAATTAAGAATTAAAAAAAACTATGATCTTATATTAAATCTTATATTCAAAATAATCATCTTAATAAAAATTCAGCAATCAACAAGAATCGTCCTTTCGAAACGAACAGCAAGGTTATAACTTTAAATTTCAAATTCACAAATACTCGTACAGTTATTATAATATAGTTAGTGATCTTGCATGTCGACGGCGGATGTCGAGCCAGGTGTTATCTTAATTTGTACGGTGGGTATGTGCTTTTTTGGTTCTTACAATAATCAGAAAGAAGTTTTATTGAAATACATTACTTATTAAGTACCTAGAGTAGTCATGCGGTGGTGTCGTTCTTCTCAGTACTAGATCTCTCGCCTTAGTTTTGCGAACCGTTGGCAAAGTTTTCGACTTTCACAACTGGAAATACCGCATATAACAAAACAAGCTAAATTCAGCGCTCTGCTTTTTTTTCTTGATTTCAAACCTGAATTCCGATGAATCGAGTCAAATGAAGCTACGTGCAACCAATAAGTTTGCTCATCACTAATGTTGACATATATACCAAACATCGTTCCATTACACGTAACATAATAAATAACTTAAACTTACGATTCAAATTTGAAAGTTAGATATTATAAGGAACACCAAACGATGTCAAATTAAATAATTTTCGCTACTCAATTTACTATTATTACGTCAGAAACAAAATTCGAATGAATATCATAGACAAGATCCAAACATCACAAGTGAAATCTAGTTTGATTTCAAAAATTCGTTTTTATTTTTTAAATACTTCCACATTGGATATTCGATAACGATATACCGTTTCAAAATATATGGAAAATACGATATATTGAATTAAAATATCAATATATCGATATTTGACAAGCCTAAGGTGCATCCCTATTTGACATTCACTAAAACGTAGTTTAAAATTTATTTTTGTTCACCTGTATTATAATAAATTTATAATAATTTCGGTTCGCAGTGTTTTAGATATATAGTACTACTAATAGTCATGTATCAAATAAAATACAAACACTAAAATTATAGTGATAAATCATATTATTAGTTAAAGTATTCTTAGAATAATATTTATTTTTAAATTTATTTGTAAGTATTTTATAAACCCAGCTTATTTGAAAACTACTGGGAAATTAATAATAGATATCATTTAAGACAATGTCTTTGTTAGCGGCTTTACACGTAAGTGACCATTTTAAATTATGGTGATGTATATGGTATTATTGAAATATGCAATAAAGCATCCGTGATCTATAATTTTAGAGTCGTACATACCCATGTCAGAAAACATTTCTAAGATTGAATCAATTGAGAACTTTTTGGGAATATGTTAATATGATGTTCAATAAACCAGACCCACAAAGACTTTTACAAGTGGGTCCTGACCGAGCATGTGCAGAATGGGTGCTTCGTAATGGTGGTAAAGTTGTTTGGGCTAATGGGCAGTCATTGGCAGATTATAATAATTTGCCCCCAGAAGATGAAATTCAACAAAAGTTAATAGAAATTGATGGAACAGATTCTTCTATATCTCATTATGGATTTCCTCACTTAAGTAATATATTAAACATTTTATTTTTTATTTCATGTTTTTCCATAAATTTTAAGAACACTACATTTTTAGAAGGATGCAGTAAACTAGAAAGAGTGATTTTGCACAATAGCAAATATATTGATGACAGAGCTATGAAAGGACTATCATATGGTAAAGAAACATTACTTCATGTACAAGTTTCTAGATGTCCAAACATAACAGATGATGGTCTCAAGGAGTTAACAGTCCTTAGCAAACTACAAAAGTTAATTTTGTTTGATTTACAAAGTGTTTCTGATCTTCATAAATGTAAAGAATATCTTAAATCACAACTTCCTCAATGCAGTGTGAAAGGTAATGTGAAGTAAATTAAAATTAATTAAATATAATCAAATGTTAATCTTATTTATTTCAAACAATGTAACATATTTGGTATTCTTGCAGGAAATCCAGAATTAAAGGACTTAAATTCATCTTGAGTTGTTAAAATCAAATGTTGTATGATTTGCTAGATAAAAGCATATTTTATAATACTTTGCATGTATAATAGAACTTATTGGATGTCATTGCACCCCTTTACCAACAGCTTCATTTACATTGCTATAACCATTTTTTTCAAGTAGTTCAGCTAATTCAGTTTTAATTTTAGTTACAATAGGAGGTCCATGGTATATAAGTGCTGTATATATTTGTATTACACTGGCCCCTGCTAAGATTTTTTCATATGCATCTTGACCACTAAATACACCTCCAACACCTATAATAGGTATTTTCCCTGAAATTGTATTACCAGATTTATCAACATTTTTGCATGTATGTATATAAGTTCCATGTTAATATAAACCTTACATTTAGTTTTGTTTCATGAATAATAAAATATAGGATTACAATTTTTAATGATGTTCACTCTAATAAATATACAGTGGTTTTCTCGTATCTTTCATGTAAATATTTGAATATCTAAAGAAATTCTATCAGAATAAAGTTTGATAACTGCTGCTCTTTAGAGATGATTTTGTAATATTACCCAACAACAAGGAAAACATAAAAAATTTGGTTTCGAAAATGGAGCTTAGAGAGAGAGTTTTTAACACTCACATCTTAATCTTATATATAAAAATGAATCGCAAAATGTGTTGGTAAGCGCATAACTCAACAACGCCTCGACCAATTTGGCCAAATCTTTTTTTAAAATGTTCGTTGAAGTTCAAGGATGGTTTTTACGGCGAGAAAAATTAGAATTATTGCTGAAAAAACCCTAAAAATAGCCCTTTTCTTTTTCCCATACAAATGATTTGTAACTAAAACGTAGTCAATTTGAGCTTTATTGCTATGGTATAAAGTTCATATTAAATTACAAGCACTCACTGTTGTCTAAGCAATGTAGGTGTATTCCTAACGTCAAAGATCATATCTATCAAAACAATGTGCGTGTGTGCGTTGGAGCACAGAATACATAGTTGGAGGAGTTCACAACGCCCTATCACCAGGGTGACGGTTCTGTTCAGGAGAATTTTTTTTAAATACGTAGGCAAAAAAACTGCCACATTACAAATCTTTTTGACAGGACGAAGTCTGTCGGGTCAGCTAGTATTTAATAAAATTCTCACCTTTTGTTAATTTGTACATTTGTTTGATCATATCAGTTGATTTATTATATAGAGGTTTGCCACTAAGTCCACCAGCCTCTGTTGAAAACTCTTTATTTACAAGGAAAGAACGATCCACTGTTGTGTTAGAAATTATAAGACCGTCAACTTTACTTTCATTTTTCATAATAATTGATACAATATCTTTCATCTCATCAAAACTGAGATCAGGAGCCAACTTCAATAACAAAGGTTTATTGTAATCAAGTGACATTGTGTTTCGAATTTTGTTCAATTCAGTAAGTAGGGACTTTAATTCATCTTTATTTTGTAATGATCTCAAACCAGGAGTATTTGGACTGTAACAAGAAAATAACATTAATTATATTTGCACAATGATGTCTCATGAACCTAATATAATAATTTAATTTTAATTAAAAATGACTTAATTAATATAATAAATTTTTTGTATTATTGATTTGATGACATCAGAAAAAAAACAAATATCTTTGAATAAGAGAATTTTATACCTGCTGATATTTATCACAAAATAATCTGCGATATTTCCAAATTTCTTGACTCCTCGTACATAATCTTCATTAGCATTTTGAGATAGTTTATTTTTTCCTAAATTGATACCTAACAATCCTTTATTTAATATAGTTTTGTCTATATTTTGCAATTTTTTATATACTTCATCATGACCTTCACTATTAAACCCATATCTATTTATTACTGCCTTATCTTCTGGTAATCTGAAAACACGAGGTTTTGGGTTTCCAGGTTGAGCTTCAGGAGTGACTGAACCTATTTCAATGATTGAGAATCCAATGTTCCTTAAACCTTTTATGGCATCTCCATGCTTATCAAATCCTGCTGCTATACCTATGGGATTGCTTAGATAATGACCAAGAAATGTTGTTTCCTGCAAACATGTATATTTTCACATTCACAAAAACAATAAAATACATTATGTATAATTCAAGTTAAATAAAATATTAAAGCTCTAAAGGTTTGCACTGTGACAGACAGACCCCATTGTGTATTTCAGAGATTCCTATTATTTTTAAGACTGGTCACATTAGTGAAAACTTCATTTTTAACAACAAAATATAAAACGCCCTTCTATATAAACATACTCATTTGTTTATTCAATGACAGACAATTGTTACTTTTACCAATTGAATCTTAACTATTACTAATATTATAAAGGCGAAAGTTTATAACTTTGTCATGCAAAAACTACTTAAAACAAATTGATGAAATTTCAAAAATAGTCTGAAGTAACACATAAACTACTTTCTATCATACTAAACGGTTTGCTTACGGAAAGTTAGTAGACTATGAATGCACCTAAGACTCGAAATAATGATGTATGTGTGATCTTAGTACTTAAAGGTTATACTCACTAAAATTTTAGGGTCCCTATAACGTTCAGGAGGGATTACACCATACTTAAGCGCTGACACGCCGATTAAATGTGCCCATTCTGGATTTATGAATTGGCTCACAGGTCTTAATACTTTGTCATAATATCCATTAAAATCTTTCTTGAAATAAATGCATTGGTATGCTACAGAACCTCCAAGCGTTAAATAACAAAGGGATTTAATTTTCTTCTGAAATTAATGAAATTTATTATTTTTAATTTATGATTATGTTTATTATGGTATATATGACTGAGTTTCATAGTTCATTACCACTGCTTGTTTTTTGTAACTCATTTTGTATATAGATAAAGAAAAAAAATAGTATATTCGGCAAACAAAATAACAAATTAGTTATTTTCCACATGTAAAACTAAAAGTTGATTTGTTTACAAATTGAAAGAAAACATTCATTCGTTTTCGTCCATGCGACAGGCGAAGGAACTAAGCTATACAGCCAAATCTTGGGATGAAAAAAAAAACAATTGTGAAAACGATCACAAATATTTTTTCCTTTTTTTTTATTTATTGTTTAATGGCTTTGGAAACATCCATACAGCCTCATCTTTAATACATTGTTCTGTACAAAGGTAAATTATACTTTTATATTATATACAGCATTAAGTTTTCATATCATAACAAAAGTTGAAAGTATAAACTTGTAAATACATTCGTACGTATTTTCATTTTCTAGTAGCGATGGCAAGGGGCGGGGAATGTCTTCGTTTTTATATATCTTCATTAGACCATCTACTAGAAACAACCTTTGGACGTTGAAAGCAGGACAATGCAGAATCAAATTCTTTAATGTAACGGAGGAAACAATCTTGACTCGCTTCAAGTGTGCCGGGATTTAGCCATGGTACACATGGTATTCCAATTTCTTTTATAAAGTTTTGTGCTTTCCTACGGTTCATGCCAAGATAAGGATTGTTATTTAATATTGGATGTTGGGGGTCGGTCCGGTGGATCGGAGGGGTCCTTTCCATTGGTTACTTTGTAATCAATGGAAAAGACAAGAGAAGAAATAAATAGGTACTTACCAACACCTAATATTAGGACAAAACATACACACTTAATTATATCGCAATTCCGCGTAGAAAGAAGGCTTAAAAGTAACAAGACGGACGATATCCCATAAGCACGTGTAGTAACCAACATTCATTGAAGAAGACAAAAACAAGTTAGGCAGAAGCCCAGTAACGAAAAAATTAAAAAACTCATTGTTGACATTGACATGACAGCTCGACATACGGTTTTGTCAATCTCTTTATTAAATTTTTATGTACAAATAATACCGTTTAAATAGACTGAAATAAATTCATTAATTAAACACGTTTTATTACTTCAGTATACTGTAAATAAACCAGGGCTGCCAGATGTACGATTTAAATCGTACTCCTACGATTTTTTGGCATTTCTACTCATGTACGATCGCTAGACTGCGATCGTACGGAAAGAGTACGATTTTCCTGCACCTAGCAACATTTCGTTATAAAACGAATGTGTTCCTCTGGCAGGTTTATGTTCGGGGAATTCCATATCAACGTTACTTATACCTAGATCTTTTACTTGAAACAAGACTTTTTTAAAATGCAAAAAAGTCTATATTTGTGTGCATTTTTACGAAACTTATTACTTTTCTCTTGTAACGAGTTATGTTGGACTTGTCAAAAACATGTTTTTCTCGTTGATATCGAGCTATACGTAGTGATTAAACAGCTTTCGATCTGCATACAGTATAGCTTGCTATAGCTTGCGACTTGCGCCAGGTACTCCAAAAAAGAAATTAGCTAAAAGAAGAGAGCTTTCTGCATCAGATAGGAACAAACAGATAACAGAAGTATCGTCCCGATTGGGAAAAATTTGATTTGTTTAAGGACTGGTTAGGGCCCAGTAAAAACCAATTTAAAGCCAAGTGCACTGTTTGTCACGTCGAAATGGTAAATAAAAAATTTGAACTTCTTTGTTGTACGATCTTTTTATTTTTAAATTTCCTAAGAATACGATTTTTTTGTAGTTGCCGTACGATCATGCCTTTTTTTCATCTGGCAGCCCTGAAATAAACTAACCATTAAGTGGCAAATTGGTGGAAACATGAAAGCTATACTTATATTTGACAGTGTAAACGATTTGTTATATTCCAAATGGGATGATGCTTTTATTGAACGGATGAAATGTTTCAATGAGCAGGTATGAAATATCTCTACGTCCTAGTATCAAATTATAAAGAAAATCTATAAATACATAGCGAAAACTTCATTTTGTTAAGAATTCTCGTAATTTGCTTTACTTTCAGGAAAATGTGGAAATAACAGATGTCTATAATGTATCCCAACTTCTGTCTCCAATAATAACATCTCAAAGAGTTATGGCTGCTCAATTTGGAAACACCTATTCTTCAATGCAATGCAAAGACAATACCACTATTGTTTTTGATGAGGTAATGTGTCAAAGCCTTGACTAAGACAATCTTAAATTACCTTAAATTTTATTAATTATGCACTTGGCAACTATTACAAGTATTAGTTTTCTCAGACATCATTTAACATGTACATAATGTTAAAAGCTTAAATGTCACTATACAATTAAATTCTATAAATCAATTAAACAATGTTCCTAAAGAATTATTCAGTGCTAAATAATCAGAACTTGTGCTGTGGGTAAATAGCTAAGATCTACTGGGCATTCCAGAAATTAATGTCTAATTAGTTATTTATCAGTTTACTCATAACACCACAGTGAAATAAGAAAATTCGAACCATAATTATTTATTAATGTTGTTACATTTGTTAAAAAGCCTGATGTGGATATTAAAACTGACTTTATTTGTAGTCAGGTGGTTAAAAGCACAGTCAACAAATCCTCCTTAGAATTCAAGTGAAGTTTCTTGAATTTTGAACCACTTCTAGCTTTTCATAATTAATATAAATAAACCAGCATCAGTCATTCACTTGGTGAAATCATCTCTCAAATAAAGAAGTCACTGCTTGATATGGTGCATATAGCTAAATTATACTTAATTATTATGTTACACTTAGTGAAATACTTTATGCATAGTGATAGTTTATCAATAATTTATTTAATCAGTCCTTTGCTTTGCCTGACAAATAAGATAATCTAGTTCAGGACTTTAGGCATATAAAAATAGTTTCTCTTTAAGTATGTACAGCATTTTTGTATAATTAGGCTAATACAATTTCAATAAATGATTAAATAGTTCAGAAATTCAAACTACAAATAGGAACAATTTACATTTGTATAAAACGTTGTAAAAAGTTATTGCACTTAATGTTGATTTATAATTGTATTTATTTATAATTGATAATTGTTGAGTGGACACTCCAATTTGTAGAACTGACCTGGTTCAAGATTTAGGAGTGCTCTTGGATAGTAAAATGCTTCTAACTAATCACATTGACAATATAACTAGTAAAGCATATAAAAATTTAGGATTTGTTATGAGGTCATGTAAACCATTTGATGATAGTGACGTTATTAAGACCGTCTATTATGCATACGTGCGTAGTCTCTTGGAATATTCAAGCCAGGTTTGGTCACCACAATATGCCGTGTATCAAGAACGTATTGAGCGTATTAAAAAAAAATTTGTAAGCCACCTTAACTATTGACTGCGGCTACCTTCAATCTCTTATTTGGAAAACTGTAGGCAACATAAAATGCTAACTCTAAAGGAAAGACGCACATTATTAGACATGAGTCTCCTTTATGACATTGTTCATGGTTATATAGACTGCGAGGAGTTGGTAACGAGTATAGCATTGCGCACTCCGTCTCGTCGTACCCGTCATACTCCACTACTAGCGATACCTCGACGCGCCACTAATTACGCGGCCAATTCTCCGTTAACACGCATCGTTCATGTTTACAACTCTGAGTTTCTAGAAGTGGATCTATTTTTTTATTCCAAGTGTGCATACAAAGATCAAATAATACAAATCTTAAAGGAGCGCCTCTCTCGCAATTAAAATACTAAATTTAAAGAAATAATTATTTCTACACAACATACCTACTTTAATTACATTTATTTTCATACAAACAAACACTATTACGTAGATAATTCGAGCTTACAAGAATATAATTGATTTGCATAATATAATTGATTAAATCTAATATTTCAGTCTCATAAAATTTTTAATTGTTGAACTATTGTAACAGGTGTGACATTTTTACAGTAAATTATGCTTCTTCAATGCCATATGCTCGTAACTGAGAGGTTTTCTTTTGTAATTGGCAGGAATTTTCTGAGACATTGCTTTTCCTTTTTTGTCAATCTTATATTGAAAAGTCAAGTTGAATAAGAGAAATGCAATAGAAATACCACTTTTACTATTGTATGATGGGTATCTGTAAAAAACACGTGTAAATGTTTGATGATGTGAAACCTTTTATTGCCCTTAATGTTAAGCTTGTTACGAGGGTCAAACTGAAAGTTCTTAGAACTGGCCACTTATAAACAATATAATAAAAAAATAATTCTAAAATTTGAAAATATAACTCTTTGCCAATATTACTGAGTATATATTTCATTCATTTGTCATTTGTTTTACGATTTGGCGGCAAATTGAAAATTGTCTGTGTCACGTCATCATGAATTTAACACGAGAAAATTTTCGTGCAATGATTTTTTATGACTTTCGATGTCATTTAAGTCAACAAGAAAGTTATGATAGACTACGATTGGCCTTTCACGATGAAGCCCCATCTCGTGCGACTGTTTACAACTGGTTTAATGAGTTTAAACGTGGTCGCACTAATCTCACTGATGATTTACGTGAGGGACGGCCTTCTACGGCGACGACTGAAGATAACATCTGTGTTGTGCGGCGTATGATAGAGACTGACAAAAGAGTGACCTATCAACAGATTCGGACAAGCTTAGGCATCGGTATGAGTCAAGTGCACAAAATCCTCCACGAACATTTAGCGGTCAGGAAGCTTTGCGCCCGGTGGATACCTCATAATTTGACTGAGGCTCAAAAACTCCATCGTGTGGATTGGTGTCGTAAAATGATTGAAAGATTTAACGGAGGTGACTCAAATGCTGTGTTCGACATACTAACAGGTGACGAAAGCTGGATTTACTGTTATGATCCTAAAACCAAAAGACAATCTGCTCAGTGGGTGTTTCCTTTCGAGGAGTTGCCAACTAAAGTGAAGAGAGATCGAAGTGCGGGAAAAAAAATGGTGGCCTCGTTCTTTGGAAGGATAGGTCATTTTGCAACAATTGTGTTAGAGGATCAAAAAACAGTTTCTGCAGAATGGTACACTACCAATTGTTTGCCACTTGTCTTGGAAAAAGTTCGAGAGAAACGACCTCGCAGTAGGATCCTCCTTCACCACGACAACGCCTCGTCGCACACCGCCAAGCG